TCAATGATCTTCTGCGGTAGACATCCCTGGGGTGGTACCACTGACCATAACCTGAATAATTACGGTACTGATGGGCAATCGGAACCTCAAGCGAGCCTGAACCTTGTAGACCCGCTGGTCTTGGTTACATAGATATTTTCAGTGATATAAAGTGAAAGATAAACATCTGAACTATTAAACAACTGATCCGTTGACTTCTTTCCAAGAATTTGCTCCCCACCCTTGAAGTAACTTGTGGCTAAATGGAGAATTGGAGACTGGGTACTAAAACGACCAGTTGGACTGGATTCAGGGACAATGGAAGCACAATGATCGCTGTAAGAAATTTCTGAAGCAGAAGCCATGGTTGTACAGAAGAAGCTGAAGAGGAACAACAGCAACAAAGCACAGAACCATGTTAGTTGACAGAAACTAGGGGAATGAGAAGGTTTCATATTCCTACGCTCGGAAAACTGGTTTCTGTAAAGATGAGCTTATGAGTCGAGTTTGTTAACAACTGCAGTCCCAGAGTTGTACTTAGTGGATTTACCAGTCAATCTCTTCCGCTGTACTCTCCTTTTTCTGCATTTTTGTGACTAATAAAGGTCTGGTCTATTATATGCAAAATTGTCAAAGTCTTTGTCGATTATTGCGGAGGTCGTCTGCCCCTCCTGTCAAGGGAAATAAATCATGGAACCCACAAGGGCAGCAACCCATTTAGTCTTGGCTTAAACTATACTCTACTATCATCCAAGTACTCTACTATATTCCAGTTGACTGCTTCCTTGTGAGGTGGTTTTTGTGGAAAATAGGAATCTAAGCAACTTCCGGTAGCTTTCATCCCTTCCTCGGTGGCACGGGTGATACCAAAATGGTTTAATAATTTCTTGACTAATTAAAGCAAAAATGTTGACTTTAACAAAGACCTTACAAGTCTCCTTCCAAACCGGAAGAAACGCCATTGGAAATATCTGTTGCAATGAAGAGGTACTGCAAATTTTCCATTTTTACAAAATCAGTGCGTTGGCATTAAGTGATGCTTTACGGCGGTCGTCATCCCCAGGCTTAAACTTTAAAGAAACGAATAAAAATAGCCCTTGGCATATTTACCGTTCACAGTTGACATTACAGATAGGGAACCAATGCTCAGATCTGCTATATCAAGAATGATGCCCCTAGACAAAAAATTTACTCGCCACCAGCGCCACTAAAAGACTTGCCATGAAAAAGCATGCATGACGAAAACAGCAACTCAATGAGTGCGACTTTTGCGACTCCATGACACACTCACTTCACTTTCTGCCAACCTGTGATAAGTTTTATTTAGATGACTGATCACATCTTTGAGGTAAGCCCTAAATGCCACACTCAAAGAGATAATTCCAGGATCGACAAACCAACAGACTACATTGTCAAACTTAAATCCACTACTCATTCCAGAAAAAAAGGGGGGAAATATTATATGGACAGCTAACTGCTATATATACATTTATTGTCAATAATATTGTACTTTTTATGTCCCAAATGCCATAATTCTAGCATACTGCATAATTTCAGTGCGATCTAGTCTGTTAAGATAGAATTCCTAAACCGCACATCTTATGGGCGAGCAAATGGTTAAACTTCAAAATTGCCTGCTCATCAAGTCAGTAGTAGTAAAAATTTTGAGCCACTGGCTGAGAAGGCACCATCCTGTTGTCTTTTGTGCTAAAGCAAGAAATTCATCACAATCTTTGACACCAATTTCTGCGAATGCATCCACAAGCGTTTTGATATATCCTGCCAAAGAGTTTTAAAATGCTGGGAGCAGCTCTTGTCACCTTCATCAACATCTTGAACACCCCCTTGACAAGCATCCCACCTGAGCTCCATCCATATATGCCTTACAAGCCACAAGAATATCACGTGCGTGCTTGTAAAAATGCCCTGCAATAAGATCTTCAAAATACTGCAGCCAAGCCGAAAATAGTCATTAATCAGTCCAAATCAGAAGGCAGCCAAAAACAAATTGCAGTCGATTTTAATGCAAGTATCATATATACTTGCAACCAAGACCACCCCCCTTCCTCCTCTGAACCCCAACAAACAAAAAATAAATGAATAAATACTTCTTCCAAGAACCCAAAAATTATAGGATAACAAAGCACAAAACAAAACGAAAAGATACCCAAAAGCACCACCAGGGCAAGACAACAAACCTGCTAGAGAGGGTCCTCTTACTGCACCGGTTAGATGGCATCATAAAGCAATAGACAACAACACGCAAACAAGGAAAAGTAGCACCAGCACGAGATCAATTAGAAGATCTCTTGCTTGAACAAAAAAATTTGCTCATTCAATTTAATCTCAACAAGAATACCATAAGTAGATAGGCAAAATAAGCAGTCAAACCAGCCATGAGATAAAGCGAAAAGTGCCACAATCACTTTACCTTTGGTGGCCTCCTGATGTTGTATACCATTGTTTTCAGAGACAAGATGAAAGTGCTCTCATTGTATTGCAGTGAGTTACTTTCACCCCCAGGTGTACCGCTCATGCTTGCATATCCAGGTTCATTGAAATATGGCTTGGCATTCAGAATCAGCCCTTGAATAGAGACCAAAACTTGAAGTATGGTTGATACACCAGGAATCCACTTTTCCTTATGACTACCACTCCAAGTGTTAAGAAGGCTGAGGCATACTTTCCCACAATTGTACAAATTCGGATTAATACGAAGGCCGCCAGAATGGTAGTGAACATGCTGGAAAAAGTAATTTGCTAATTTTAATGGAAATAGACCTGGTTTGTATGTAAAGATCTAAATTTAAACAGAAGCTTAATATGCAACATGAATTTCAGCTACATACTGGTGGCACATTAGGATAATTGCTTGGGAAGAACACATCAAAGAAAAATAGGCCATCATGGTATGGAGTCCCTTCAGCTCCAATTATTACGGCCCTCAAAATGTCCATCCTCGATTCATAGACTCTGACAAATATTGTATCTGTGGGATGATTACATAACAACTAAGTGCATCACTACAAAGTCTAGTATGCATAAAAGGAGACAAAAATATATGAATAATGCATGAAAATGCAGACAGTTTATACACAAAGTAAGATCCAGAGTAACATATTTTTTATGCCACTCCATATGTACAGCTTTCAAAGGAGTAAAGAAATAATCAAAGATAACAGATTCAATAAAAAGACAAGCCAATCCTATTACCAGGTAGATCATTTTCAAGAATCCTCCATTCCTCCTGTATCTTCTTTGCCCAATTCTTTGACGGCTGTGGCAGAAAATGTCCAGTAAGGGAACCATATTCAGAGGGGAAAAAAAAGCAGTTACGAGTATGTCTAAAACGAAGCTTACCTGCCTCATTGAAAAACCATTTTTAGAATAATAGTGATCTGTAAAATCTTGAACAGTATCAAATTTCTTAAAAAGATCAAAGTTCTTCAAAAATTCACCAGGATCCCCATATTTTGCCTTGCCAGATAACGACCCAGATGAGTTTCCAGAAGCAGTTGCACTCTTTTGGCCCACAATAGGATCCATGTCCCAGGGGCCAAAGGCCATGTCATCAGGGAAGACAGCTAGCGGCCCAGACTGATCAACAAATCCTGATGGATATGAAGCATTCACAAAAGAATGTCCTACAGTATTGTTCGGCATGCTCTTCCACGCATATTTATGGCTTCCTACCTCAGGTTGAACATCATTTAGCAATTTTTGAATATGAGAAGCTGGATTAGTTGAGGCACCACTGCCCAGATGCTTATGGCTCACTGCTCCAGGTTGAACATCATTTCGCTTTGTTCGACTACGTGAAGCTAGACCAGTCAAGGGACCACTAACCGGATGCTTTGTAAAGCTAGAAACATGATGACTGAACTGGTTGTGTGAACCACCCTCCAGCATATTGTAACCTATTTGACGATTCCTCTTAGTTTTACTACGCCAAGATTCAGCCAAATGATGACGCCAAGATTCAGCCAAATGATGACGAGAATCATGCATATCCATGCTTGATGAGGAGGTCAAATAATCCTTTGCGAATTTTGATGGCAAACTAAATGAACTCCTGGCTGCAGTTGACCTCTTCGAGACATGAGCAGGATCTTTAAGCAACCATGATGAAGATGGCTCCCATTTCTTAGGTTGACCACTTCCTTTCACTTTGTCTCCTGAAATTAAATTCTCTCCTATAATTGATTTGTCACTTGATTGTTCAAATTCCATGGGCCATATTGAGGAGGATGAATTGGAATTTGGGGGAAAAACCACACCATCCACGTCAATTGGCGAGCTAGAATGATTTGAAGTACTTGCAACAGCCGGCTTTAATTTATTTTCTTCATGGCCTGCAAACCAAGGTACACTAACCTCAACCCCAGGAGGTATATCCAACTATCCAAATGAGCTTGTATGATAGCATACTGATCATCATATAGGGGATCATCCTGAGACATATCCACATACTCATTTTCTCCATAAAAAAAGTCAGCATCAAAATCTTCTCCATTAATTAAATAATGTGATCCTGAAACATAATTTTTCTCTGGAGATTGCACACCATTCCCAGACCCATCATTAATTCCAGAACTAGATCCTGAGGGAAGCTTGCTGAAAACATCCTACAAGGAAGAAAAAGTATGGGCTGATAAGTACAACAACATTAGAATACCTTCACCAATTTACCATGAACTAATCTTGGCCCATTATTGGCCAAAACAACCCCCCCTCGCTATGACATCTGCAGATATATAAAATACAACCAAGTTCTAACAAGAATACAAACCATATAATGAATTCAAATTTAAAAAGTAAGTCCACATGGAAAAACCGCCATCAAACTCTCAAAATTACCATATTAGAGTCATGTCTACAAACAAGAAGTACCATATTGGAGTCAGCTGACTCACAATCCAATTAAGATTGCAACATTTCGAACAAAAGTTTATAGTTACCTTGCCCTTCCTCTTTGTGTATATGCAAAATGATGCTCATGCGACATTAAGGTATACTTGTGCAGTCTATCACTCTACAGCACATGCAAATTATGAAGTTAAATTACTTAAAAAATTTTGTTCATTTTTTGGTCTTGTATGACGCTTGGCCTTGCTTCATTGTTGTTTTTCAAAGCGCCCCTAACTGTTAGTCTCTTACAGACGTTTTTCTGCTAGTTTTTAACTCTTCAATACTCTTGGGAATGTCCTACATATGTATATATATTTTCCTTGTCATAGTATAAGCTTTTTTTTTTTTTTTTGGCTGGGCAGAATGTTCATCATTCAGGCATCCCAATGCCAGGTGAGGAGCAGGAGGACATTGTGATGACCAGTACCGAAAGCAATATTCTCAATAAAACTTGCCCAGTGACTGGGAAGCCAGTCACTGAACTAGCAGACCCAGTGCGAAGGTCTCTGAGTATACCTCTCTTTTCCGTCTATAGGAGTGGTCAAATATATATAATTATTGTTAAATACTAAGATAAAATAGAAATTTCTATGTTTTGTCTCGCTATCTGTGGTCGGATGAATATGAAGTCTGGGCGAATGCATCTTTACATTTCCACATGTATTCTAACAAAAACTGTTTTTATTTATTTTTGGCTATGATTGTATGACCTGGCTAATTTTTTACTCTTCCTTTGCAACGAGACATTATCTTTGTGTAGCATCTCATGGAAGCAGCATAATATTTGATCCATCCAGCCTTGCTGGTTAAAGGCTGCAGTATTGTTGCAAAATATTGGCATAGCATTCCTATTCTTGCTTGATGAGGGGAGTTATACTGTTGGTATTGCTTCTGTAGTGGAAGTAGTTTTGAAACCAAAGCCATACGGATTCATGGTTAATGAACTGAATGTGTATCAACCAATTACAGCTCTAGTATATTGCACATTTTTGTTTTTGTTATATCATTTTTGAATTACATGCCGAGGGAACCCACATGGACTGAGTAAAAGGAAAAGACAGTGGCAGATGAGATTACAAATTTAGATTGAAGTTGAAGGTTTACCATCTTCTGTGTGTGCCTTGTTAGGAATCTCATGCAAGTGGTCTGGTTCTTATTGCCATAAGTACTCCTTGATTGCAAATCAGCTCCTCAGATTCATAATGAGCGTCAGTGATGGTTTTTGTTATTATTTTCTGAAACTGAATTGTTTTGGCTGCAATAAGACGTGGAGGGCTTATAGTTTTTCCTTGTATTGTTTATTCTGCTACCTATTTGTTTGACTTCATTCTTTTATCCATTGAGGCAGCATGGACTGCAAGCATGTTTATGACAAGAACGCTATCATGTATCACATGAGATCCATGAAATCCAAGTGTCCTTGTCCTGTAGCAGGTATATACTTCCATATCTTATGTTGCAAGTATTATTATGTTACTTTGTTCCTTCGTTCCTTTGTTCTTTATTCATATTCCTTGGGTTTACCTGGATGTTTCTTCTTGCAGGTTGCCCTAAAGAGTTGCAGGTGCATAGATTGATATGTGACCCTCTGTTGTTAGTAGAAATTGAAGAAATGCGCACAATGAGCAAAGGAACTGCTCAACCTGGGGTTATAGAAGATTTTACTGGGTGACGAAAATGACCTATCAAGGTTTGGTAATGGTAGCAAGATTTATTAATTTCAGATATTTCTTCCAAACTCCCTGAAATTTCCCGATCAAATTTTGAAACTGTAACGTAGAATGTTCCTCTGCCACTTTGACAGTGATGGAGGTGTTAAAAACTTAAAGGGCCTTATTTTTCTTGTTTGGTGCTTTTAAATCTGACTAGCAGTTTCAGGATGGGTTACTGAAAGTGTCTCTGGTTGTATTGCCAACTTCATGCACTTCAGTTTGAAAAGAGAGTTTGTCCATCGCGGGCATGTTCAAGATCGAGCAATCGGGGTACGTTGGCTGGCTGTTTAGTAAGGAAATGCCACGAATACATTTTCAGCCCTACACTTGAATAATTGTGCCTCTTACCGCTCAGATCAAAGCTACTTTCTATTCGTCATTCAGACTTCTTAGTTAATAAAGACATTAATCTAAGATATTGTGTGCACCAGATCCGTATAAGTCAATCCTTTTCTTAAAAAAACCAAAAAAAAAAAAATCATAACCAAATATAAAAGTAAGGATACTAATATTATTTTGCGTGTTTTTAAAAGAAGTGATTGATTTATTCACGACTATGTAATATCTTTCTCACTACATCAATGTAAAGATTAAAATAGTTACATATGTGTCAAGACTTAAATTTGAGGTCACCTCAAAATTGGCTACCATAATTGTGGCAGTTATCCGCACAATTTTTAGCAATTTATAGCGGTTATTATAATATATTACTATTATAGGTCGGAGTCTTTGACTGTTGGTAGTGAGATTCGAACCTTCATTGGTGAAAGCTATAATATGTGATTTGAATGAATGAAACATTTATTTCATCCTAAAAAATGGGATAATATCAGAAACTTCCCTTGAGATTTTTCTTAATATCACATGACACCCGTAAAGTTTTAAAAATATCACTTGCCTTCCTTACTTCTGTTATTTGTGTTACAAAATTTTTAAAAGCCCTAAATGACCCTTTCACTTGCTAAATAAAAATATTCCTAAACTATTTTGTCAATTTTAAGAAACCATCATCTAAAAACTAATCTCTTGTAGTACCATCACATCATAATGCTATACTCCATAAAAATATAAATTTGAAAAATAAAAAAAGATATTTGAAAAGAAATGCACTTGCACTAATTTAATTTTATATGGTCAAAATCAATTTCTTATGAACTTTTATATTTTTTTCAACATCTTCTCAACCCTTGCCCAAATTATCAAATTGTACTAATTATTATAAAAATCAACTTAAAATAAGCAAATAAATCATACCTCACTTTATCACAATCACAAAATAAAAAGATAAACAAAATTGAATTTATTATAATTTACAAATAAAATATTGCATAATCATCCAAAAAATGAGTAATAGAGAATGATGGAGAAAAGGGAAAAAGAAAAAAGTGACTTTAGTTTTTTTTTTTTAATTTTTGAATTCCATTTATTTGATATGTGAATCATGTGTCAAATGAGGGTTAATATAGTCTTTTTATAATTATTAGGGAAGGTAAGTAATATTTCAAAAATATTAGGCGCGTCAAGTGATATTAGGAGAAACCTCAAGCAAAGTTTCTGATATTATTCCAAAAAAAAAAAAGGAGAGAGACTCTTAGAACCTGAACCTGTATTACGAGGGAGTCCACAAGCTGAGCCACAATTAAAAAGGCAAAAAATGTCCTGAGCCACCCGGTCCTCCCCATGAGCCTGGAGCCGTCAAATTGTTCTGGAATTCTGAGACTTCCTCGGCGCTCAGCGGACACTAAATTGACATGGAACTTCTACCGTGAGACTGTGAGAGTCAAATAAAAGGAAAAAGGGCCTTTCCTAAACCCACACTCCCCGGTACTAAAACCCCCCCTATTTGAATAAAACAGGGTCATCATCCAGATGACGTTTCCAAGATTTTCTTCGTTAGTCCGTCGTGCTCCTCTTCCATCTCCCGTACTTCCACCTCTCTCAACACTCCCTTCTCTTCACCCCAAACGCAGCATTAGCCTCGGAGCCTCTGCTTTCATGGAAAAAGAAGAATCCACCTCTTCACCAATCCAAGCTTCTGCTCCCCTCAAAATCAACCGCTGGAAGCCCTTATGTTTGTACTACACCCAAGGTAAGTGTACTAAGGTGAGCCCTTTTGTCCTTTTGCTGCTTTTAGTGTAATAGTTCCCTATGATTTTTCTGTGTTTTATAGTATTTCTGTTTTGTGCTTTATGTGGAAAAACTTTAGTAAATTTTATGGTTCCCCCCCCCCTTGAAAACAATAAAACTGGCCCCCTCCTCCTCCCCTATTTTGGATAACAGATGACCCTTGTCCCCTTCAGGTGTTCGCGCGGGGGAAATTTTGAACCATAATCTCTCATCTCGTCGCGGCTTGGCGTGGTGGAAGCATGTCAGGCGTTGTCGGAGCAAGCTGGTAAGTCGCAGGAGTCGATTACATTTTTTCCTGTGTCTTGATTGTTGAAGAGCTTGCTCAAACACGTGGAAGAACATTCTCGAGTTCTTTCCCTGTGCCTCTTACCTTGATGCTTTTGCAAACAACATGAACATGCCATATCGCACTTGCTTCCACAGGTCTTCGTCTCAAAAAAAATTATCTACCTAAAAATTTGAAATTTACTGCTTTGGGAATAACATGATCCGCGTGCTAACGGGCTTAATGTTGTGGCCAATCCTGGATAAGTTATCCTTATCACTGTTATCTCACATTAGTCCCTTTAGGTATTAACTTTACATGAGCTCATTCTAAGGCAGTCTATCAACACTAGAATAGTTGACATGGTTGAAAACCAAAAAAAAATGATCCATTGGTTTATGTACTGCAATAACGAGGAATTTGATTCGGGTAGTGATTTGACTTTGAGTGTAACTGTGAAGAAGTTTGCTTCATACGCCGAAATGATTACTGGATTCATGTTATGGGTGTTTGCATCTAAATGGATTTATTTTCGTACTTGGAGTTTGTCTTTTTGATAAAATGGGTTCTACTGTAACAATAGCTTGATATAGCTGGTAATGTGAGTGGGATACATGTGAAAGTAATTAGAAGGATGTAGGATTTGATATTTGGTATGGAAAACTTTCCTTTGCAGTTAAGGACGTAATATCTTCACCGTCCAAAAAGGGGACTTGGGAAAGTAAATGGTAAACCATGGATGGAGTATATTGTGGCTAGTAAATTTATCTTGACATCTTACGATGCTAATTGCTTGCTTGTTAGCAAAATTTGTTTAATTTTTATGTGATGAGTGTGATTTTAAATGATTAATGCTTCTTCTGGTTTTCCTAAACTTTTGACAGGTTTGTGAGGCCTTCCCAGATGGGTGAGCAAAGAATAAATCAGTACATTGGCGGAAAATACGGAAAACTAGGAGTTGACAGGTACATTACTAATTCTCTGTCCAAGTCGCTAAACTTAGTTTACTTGCTGGCCTGTTTGATTCAGCTGATGCTATTTTATATCTGTTGAATCTATTACCTGGGCTTGTCTGGTGAATCTTGATTCTTGATACTTTTTTTTTTTTTGGACTGATGATATACTTGATTCACCAGATGAATGCTCTGTTATCTAAATACTTGATTCACCGGTGAATCTAGTGATTTCACTTGTATATCCATATGCTTTATTTTGGAGTTTACTCATTGTGGATTGATGTATTTGTCAAACTATATTGCAATTGAAGGAAAGGTTGCTATAAATTTGAAAATTCAGTTGCATAACTTGTTCACTTACACATTGGTATTTCTTTTTCAAGGGCACACGTTGGTAGCTTTAGTATTTCATCTTCACATTATAGTTTCGAACCATGAATCTTACTTGGACTTAATTTTTCTTTTCCTAAAGCATGTTTGTCCTATTTTTGATGAGATTAGAATTTCATTTCCCAGAAATTATGCTCCCCCCCCCCCCCAACCCCACCCACCAAAAAAAAGGAAAAAGTATACTATCTTGAGCCATTTCATGGTTCTTTATTTATGCAGGGTTTGGCACGATACTGCCATTCCATTTGATGAAGTGATTCAACAATTTGAAGAGTGGTTGGGTAAGCATCATTTATGGGTCAAAAAGCCAGGTGGTCGTCTAAATAGAGCTGCATTTATAACTTGGTAAGTTGCTTGTCTTAGTGATGTTGACATAACCCTTGAGTCATTTTTATCAATGCCCTACTTCGCTGGATCAAATTGTCATATTTTATCAATGCCTTCTGAGAGGTGTAGAATAAACGCCTATGAATTCTGTTGAATGGATAAACTTTGTTTTTGTACTTTTACTTGTCGTTTTTTATGAACATTCAGATGTTAAAAGTTTGAAACAGTGAGAGCCTAATAACATATGGGTCCTCTGCTGAAATCTAAAAGCTCCTTTTTCACTTAAAAAAAAAAAACTCTGTTTGTAGCATTCTATTTCTCTTTTGATTCCCCTATCATTTAGTTTTAAAGTGTTGATGATATTGTTGAGGCCTACATTACTTAATCAGAAAGGATAAATATGTAATGGCCTTCATTAGATGTAGAATGTGTCTTCATTGTATTTTACTTCTCTGTAAATTGGGGATAGGAATAATAATAATAGTATGATCCTAAACAAAATCATAAAACCACTAGGATTTTGGAGATGGAGAATAAACAGGACTTGATCCAGTCTGAGAAGGAGTTGCAATACTTGTTAGGTTCTGAAAACAAAGCAACAACATTCTTTAGTTTTTTCTAATTAACTATAGTATTGTTGGTTTACATGTACCAGCGGAAATTGGGATTTGAAGACAAAGATCCCTGCGCAGTGCAAAGTATCAAGGATGGCACTTCCATCATATTTCACTGAATGGATCAATCTAAAGGACATTTTTTTGAACTTTTATAATAGAAGGGTGAGTTTGCTGTACTTACACATTTCTGATTTCGAAATGATTCCCTTTGGATTCAGCTGAGTTGATTACACTCTGTGAACCATAGGTTGGCATGATTTAGTTGTGTGACCGCCAAGTTACTGTACAATTTACTTTCAGAGTACGTTGCATTAGTGTGAGATTGGTTGTGTGTCTGTGAGTTTATGCATTTTATAGAGTGTTTCATCTCAGCCCAATGCTCCTCGTTTGCAGCTGCTGCTGTTGATTAGACCAAGTTGTGTTATAGTGATAAACTTCTCAGATTGTTGCCATCCTCCTCAAACCTCTCATAGTTTTGCGTTGCCCTTAGTTCCTGTTTTACACAAGTTGGCTTCTTTTTGATTGTCAGGCTCCAGGAATGGTTTCAATGATGAGGGAACTCCGAATTCCACTGCGAGGAAGTCACCATCTTGGAATGGATGATACCAAAAATATTGCAAGAGTGGTACAACACATGCTTATAGATGGTGCTCTTCTGCAAATTACTGCAAGGAGATTACGTGGTTCAAAAGTTGAGTTTCTATTTGAAAATCGTGTCTAGTTGCCACTCTACATCTCTTTACGTTCACCTTCCTTGTTATGATCTTCATTTCGGACTAATTTCTTTGTGCTAATTGCATATATATATATATATATTCTTCATGAGCTTTCCTTCTCCAACAACAATTTCAAGAATTCAACCAGTGTGTTGATGGGTTGATCGCTGTTCAAATTATTCCAATTTTACCGTTCAAATTGCAATTGAATGGCATGACAACGTCATCTACCAAAACATAATGGGATAACAGAGCGGAAAAAAACTATGCTTTGATTTTTCTGAATTTTTATTTGGGGATGTTTAAAAAAATTGAAAGGTAAGAGAATACAAAATTTATGCAATAATTTTGCGTGTAACATAAAAATGATGTTTTAGGAGAATCAACTTTGTTGTGGTCAGCAAATTGCTGGTTTTCTCCAGATTCAATTTGTTATGGTGATTCAATGATTTATTAGTAACTAATGTTTGTTATGGTCGATCATTAAATCAAATTCCAACACTTTGCTGAATAAGAAAAAGAGAACTCTCGATTCATTTGTAGCTATATATTTATATTTATATATATATCATATGTTCCAATGCTCAGAAAATTATATTAAAATACTTCATCCCACCCACCCAAATAAAGTAGAAAAAAAATTCAGAAAATTAACATCTATTTGGCGGTAAGATTTGGTGGGAAAAAAATAAAATTTAATTTCAATTCCTATTTTCCTCCACAAGCCCCAGCCTCACCCAATTAGCGCGTGTGAACATCAGCACCATCTCCTTCCACGTCAGCAATTCCTCGTGGGACCAAAAGTTTTCCCTTCCTCAAACGAATCCCAATTGACACCGATCCTTCTTCGCGCGTGAAAAAAATAATGTGCCCGAATATCAATTACCTTCACCGGTTCTGATATACATATAACACTCCACCCCTTGAACCCTCTCAACCCCTCCGCCCTAGCATCATTCTTCTGCGCACCCTGTCATTTTAAAGTTTGAAAAATCGAACCCAAAAATCAAATCTCGTTTGTGATTCACGCTCCATAAGCTAAAACTTAGCTCGAAAATTAATCTTTCCAAGGGGCCTTTTTTGGGTTTTTGTTTTTTCTCTGCTTTCGATGATCAGCTGATCAGAGGTAAGTCCCTCCTTTGCCAATTCGTATTAGATGCTTAATCTGGGACAATAAAATTCAAGACCCTTTTGCTGAATTTTTCGGAATCTAAATGCCCTTGACTTGTATTTGAGCAATTAATTTTTATACCACTTAAATTTTTTATACATTGGGAATTAGTGTCATGCGATTTTCGAGGTCGGAATCTGTGGTGGAAAGGAGTGAAGATAATGTTTTGAGAAGTTCTAGGAGTAAGAAAAAGCATAAGAGATTAGATGCAATATGCGAAAATGTTTATACTAGGAACCATAGCGGGGTGGAGAAGAGGGAACTGTTAAATGCGGGTAATGTGGATGGGGATGGAACGGAGCGTCGCCGGAGCACTCGGGTTCGAAGGGCTCCTGAGGTGCTCGATGCTTCGCCTTTGCCACCAAAGAAGAGACGGAGACTTGATAAGAAGGGAAGGGTGAGTAGTGTGCATAAAGGGAAAAGAGTTGTCCGAATCGGGGTGAAGAATGAGAATACGTGTTCTACTTCAAAGGAGTTGGAGGAAGAGGAAGAAAATTTGGGTAGTTGGAGGTCACGGTTGAGAACTAGGGGTAAATCTGTGAGCTTTGGAGAGTATGGAGGAAGGGAGAAGGGGCATTTCTCGCCGAAAGGGAGGAGGAAACTTTTTCAGGATTTTGATGGTGTTAAGGAAGAAGGGGCATTGGAAATTAAGGAGATTGATATTAAGGAGGGATTTCTAGGTGCGGATTCATCTGCTGCAGAGGGGAAGGTTAAAGTTTTGAGTCTTTTAGAGAGTGAGCAGCAACAAGTTGGTTTGGGTGGTGGTATGGTGGATGAGAAAATGTTGGATGAAGAAGAGTTGGCGCAATTGAGTGATAACGGAAATGATTTACTGTTAAAGACTGAAAAAGGATGTGGTAATGATGATGGAACCAAAGATGGCCTTGGATCCTCAAAGTCGGTTGAAAAAGAGCAGATAGAAGTTCAGACTGGTTCACAGTTAGAGAAACATGATAGCAATGACAATGTTCAACTGCAGGTTGATAAGGTAGCATGTGTTATGGAAGAGCACCCAAATAATGCTCTGGAAGTTGATGGAGCAACAACAGACCAGGCAAAAGTTGAAGAAGCTAATTGGAAGCCTCTAGAAGAAGAATATGGAGCCACAGCAGACCAGGCAAAAGTTGAAGAAGCTGATTGGAAACCTCTAGAAGAAGAATATGGAACCATGGTAGACCAAACAAAACTTGAAGAAGCTAATTGGAAGCCTCTAGAAGAAGAATCCTCTGAGAAGTTTGGCATGAAAAATCATGTTTCCAATGGTTTACTTAACAGTAAACTGAAACCAATTCGTATAAAAGAGGGAAGGCATTGTGGTTTGTGTGGAGGAGGTACTGATGGAAAACCACCAAAGAAACTTGTACAAGTTGGCAATGGAACTGACGATGAAGCAAGTAGTGGGGGTTCTGCTTCTGAAGAACCCAACTATGACATTTGGGATGGTTTTGGTGATGAACTTGGCTGGCTTGGACGACTCTTGGGTCCTGTTAATGATCGCTATGGTATAGCTGGAATTTGGGTGCATCAACAGTGTGCTGTCTGGAGTCCAGAGGTATGGTCTATTTTCCATGTTTCTTTTCCCATTTTCATGAGGCCACAACTTTTCTCTCCCTAATAGAACTCTTGTTTATTTATCTCACTTGGAAATGCTCGGTTCAGTTATTCTTTATTCTAGAGATGAGAATGGGGAAGTTTCTTTGGAAAAAAAAGCAGAAAAGATTGTAATTAATCATATTTGGAATGTTTGCATGTTATGATCACTACTGCTACTAATGAATGTAGATTTGAATCATTTCCTAGTTTCTCCTTATTTTCTATTCCTGGTTTATCTACGTGTAGACATATGTATAATAGTCACCATATATATTAGAAGATCTTATTTTAGTTTTGAGTTCATTAATAAAGTTGGAGATGGAAAATTTGCCAGTGAGACTATTTACTTGAAAACTACGAAGTGTTAGCTATGGATTCAATGCACACATTGCCTCTTTGGTAATCTTTCCTGTTCAGTAATGCCTATACAAGCATGGACAATACTGTGCCCACAGTTTAAAGTGAGATGGTGATCAAACCTTTGGTCATTAACGGCCATTACTACATGGCAGTTTGGCTTGAGTCTAGCGTCAGATGCACTTAAGTGAGGTAAGAGGTTATATCTGCAAAGGTCCTGAGTAACATAGGGAATTTGAGAACAGGACAAAGTTCATGTCTGACTATGCTGCTTAGGTACCACAGAACTCTTTTTTACTTGCACAAAGAGTAGATATCTTTTTCGCTGGTAGATCTATGAAGGTACACCTTTGGTTTTTATTTTTCCATGACACTATGTTGGGAATACTTCACATTCTGAATGAGCAGGCTAATAGTAATTCTTATTGACTAAAGCTTAAAGGTCCTTGAGTTACAGCTAAGCTGAATGTGTAATGGATTATAAGCATCTTGGAAGGTGAAAAACTTCATTTCCATTTATACTGTACACTCCCTCCAACATGTTTTATCTTTTCTTATCTAAACTATACATACATTGAATTAATTTTAGTTCTGAGTTCTGACTAATACTCATTAGCTGGCAACATTTCTTTTACATTGTTGCCTTCAGTTTGGTGTTGGTCTTATTACTAGTATTATTACTTAGGAAGTTGTAACAAGGTTAAGATTGGTAAAAATTTTGTTCTTTTCTTTGAATTTCTAAATCATGAAAACTACTTTGGAACGGACAAATAATAACCATAGCATATAAAGTGGTAGGGGAGTTTTGCCCCTCTTTACTCTCCTGGTAGAATTTGTTCCATTCACTTGTGCTTGTAATTTTGCTGAAGCACCCCGTTAGTTACTGTTGATTTCAGTTTCTTTAGCATTTTCTTCCTTTTGTTAGCTGTATAATTTGTTTGATTTGCTAACTTGAGTGTAAGCCACTCTGCGATCTATGCTTTCCTGTAGTTTTGTTTCTGTGGCTGATGTCCCTCTGTCTTTTTTATTCCTTATTTGATTTCCTTTTCTTCTTTGGTTTGTGGCTATAAATTGTTTGTTTTACTTCATTTACTGATACTGTGTGTTTATAAGGTTATCAGGACTCAACATTTTACCATCTCAGTTCTTGCTATATGATGGAAATTTTTGTAGGAAGTTAGCAACAATAACTGGTTGATTTTATGTACACTTGGCTTTTTTCCTTAATATGTATGCTGACTGGCCTTTATGTACTTTCTTCTATGTGGATTTACTGTTGTATTTATCATTCATTCCTTTAATGCGTTTCCTGAGCCTGTCATCATGGTATATTCCCATTCTTGTTTCTGTTTTCAGGTTTATTTTGCTGGCTTGGGTTGCTTGAAAAATGTTAGGGCAGCACTTTACAGGGGAAGGGTTTTGAAGTGCACCCGCTGTGGAAGGCCAGGAGCAACGATCGGGTGCCGTGTTGATCGCTGTCCAAAAACTTACCACCTGGTCAGTTTTCCTTCTTTTCTTCTTTTTCCTAATTAAGGCCCATCTGTGGTCTTTTATGTTTGTTTCTCTAAGTCATTGTCATATGTCCTTTTTCCCTTGATAGTTGTATGTTCCTCGATATAACTCTTCTTCTGCCTCAATTGTGACATTTTGCAGCCATGTGCACGAGCCAGTGGTTGCATCTTTGATCATCGCAAATTTCTGATTGCTTGTACAGATCATCGACATATCTTCCAACCCCAGGGAAGTCAATATTTACTCCGACTGAAGAAAATGAAGTTAAAAAAAATGAAGTTGGAAATTAGAAAGATGTCAAATGATGCATTAAGGAAGGATATTGAATCAGAAGAAAAATGGTTAGAGCAATGTGGGGAGGATGAGGAGTTTCTGAAGCGTGAGGGCAAGAGACTTCATCGGGATTTGCTGAGAATTGCACCCACATATATTGGGGGCTCAAGCGGTGACAGTGAGATTCAGTTTCAGGGTTGGGAATCTGTTGCTGGTCTTCGTGATGTCATACGATGCATGAAGGAAGTGGTCATTCTACCACTGTTATACCCCGAGTTTTTTGGTAGCCTGGGGCTTACACCTCCCAGAGGAGTTCTGTTGCATGGATATCCTGGGACAGGCAAAACTTTGGTTGTACGGGCATTAATTGGTTCATGTTCTCGTGGTGATAAAAGAATTGCATATTTTGCTCGCAAAGGCGCGGATTGTTTGGGAAAATATGTTGGGGATGCTGAGCGTCAGCTGAGACTTCTTTTTCAGGTTGCTGAAAAGTCTCAGCCTTCAATTATTTTCTTTGATGAAATAGATGGCTTGGCCCCTTGCCGTACTAGACAGCAAGACCAGACACATAGTTCAGTTGTTTCTACTTTGCTTGCTTTGATGGATGGTTTAAAATCTCGAGGTTCAGTTGTTGTAATAGGTGCAACAAATCGTCCTGATGCTATTGATCCAGCTTTAAGGCGGCCAGGAAGGTTTGACCGTGAGATTTATTTCCCACTGCCATCGACAGAGGACAGAGGGGCAATTCTGGCACTACACACTCAGAAATGGCCAAAACAAATTAGTGGCTCATTACTTAAGTGGGTAGCAAGGAGAACTGTGGGATTTGCTGGTGCTGATCTGCAGGCTCTTTGCACTCAAGCTGCCATTATTGCTTTGAGGAGGAACTATCCTTTGCATGAACTTCTATCTGGTGCTGGAGACAATGCCTGTTTGGATAAACTCCCTCGTCTCCCATCTTTCACTGTTGAAGAGAGAGATTGGTTAGATGCTCTTTCATCAGCACCACCTCCTTGTTCCCGCAGAGAAGCTGGAATTGCTGCAAATGATTTGGTAACCTCGCCTCTTCCAGCCCATCTTATTCCTTGTCTGCTACAACCACTGTCCAAATTGCTTGTTTCCCTTTATTTGGATGAATATGTGTGGTTGCCACCACCTCTTTATAAAGCTGCAACAGTAATTAAACATGTGGTTCTTTCTGCTTTGGATGAGAAGAAAGTAGTGGGTGATAACTGGTGGTCGCATCTTCATGATTTTCTTCAAGATGCAGATATTGTTGGTAAGATTCAGGATAGCCTGTCAAGTGCTGCCGTTTTAACAGATGCTATGGACTGTTCTGATCCCCTGGAAGATGTTGCCGATGACAGATACTTAAAGTTTAAACCTTCAAGGGCACAGTGTGTATATGCTCACCCTAGCCTGCTTCACACCATGTCCTATCAACCAGGAACTAAATCAGGATTTAGGATTTTGATTTCTGGGGAAGCCAGATGTGGCCAGAGGCATCTTGCTTCTTGTGTTCTCCACTGTTTTTCTGGCAATATTGAAATACGAAAGCTTGACTTGGCTACTTTGTCCCAGGAAGGGCATGGAGATGTGGTTAATGGGCTAACACTAATACTGAGTATGTTTCTTTACTGACATCTTTACTGAAATTTAGGTAAATAGAACTGTATTATGAGATTTTCGGGTCTACTAGATTGAAAATTGCCTTGCCTGTGCATCTTGTGTCTTCACATAGATTAGGAAGCAAATCTGCTACTTTTATTTGTATTAGCTCATTATGAGTTTGCCTTATGGTTGATTTATAGGAAATTTAGGAGGTCAATTATAACCAAAGCTCTAGTAACCAGCTGTCCTGATTGTTTAAAGACCCTCTAGCGCTTGATCGAACCTAGCCTTATTCTCATTCATGTATGATATTGGTTAATTTTTAAGTTTGCAGCTTTAACTATTAATGTTTTAAGGGATGAGGTTTACATGCCTGTAATCCGTTTTGTGCTTGTGGTGGTGTATAAAATTTAACAAATTTGGCCAAATTGCCTGTACTGGAAAACAATGGGATGAACTTATTCATTTTGATGCTTGTGTAACTTTGTCTTTTGAACTTATTCATCTTGATGCAGTGAGATGTGCCAGTTTGGATTCATGCATGTTATTTCTGCCAAGGATTGATTTATGGGCAGTAGAGACATGTATTCAGTCTTGTGAAGGACAAACTGCTTCCCCTTCCTCTAGCCAGAGTGCAACTGTGGAGTTTGCGGGGAATTCAGAGTCCCAAGGTGCTGTCAAAAATGTCTCATGTCTATGGAACTCATTTGTTGAGCAGGTCGAATCTATCTGTGTACGTACACCATTGATGATTCTGGTACGTCTGCTTGTAGTTCTTTAGTTGCTGAATCCCTTTCATAAGTAAATATCAAATTCTTTTATGTTGATAAAGGCAAAATGTCTTGGTCTAGCTTAAGATCTTGTGAAACAAAGTAGTTACACTGCAATCTTTCAAAGAATAAGTTGGACCTAATCCATATCTCCATGGATGTCACAAGGAAAGAACACGCAATGTAGTGGTCTGTTTTTTATTTAGTGTCGTCTATTCACTTTGACTGTCCGTTAAGCTTCTATGTGTATTTCTTAGTCTGCAGTAAATCTCTTCTAGCCGCTAACTTTCAGTCTCTGCATAATGAAGAGCTGGAAAAAGCTCATCTAAATTCTGTATTGTTTTCAAACAGGCTACCTCAGAAGTACCATTTGTAGAGCTTCCTTCTAGAGTGAAGCAATTTTTCAGGTCTGAGATGTTGGATTGTGCTCTGTCCAATCCCTGGAAAGATACAATGCCCCGATTCTTAGTGGAGGTGGATCAACATTTGAATTATGATTCCATAATTGATACCTCTGCAACGAAGTTATTGATGGATCTAGTTCAGTACTTCATTCATTTGAGTCGTCACAGTATTCATGCAAACTCATCCAGTCAGAAGAAATATCACAGTGTTGGTGAACTTAGTCTTAATGCTATACACCAATGTTCAGGTCCAAAGTCAAACTTTGAATCTTCAAGCAAGCATCCGATTGCTCCTGTTCCATCAGTCGCAGCTTGCAATACTGTAAAAGGGAAATCCAACTTGCTTGCAGCAATATCCACATTTGGTTATCAGATTTTGCGATACCCTCATTTTGCTGAGCTTTGTTGGGTCACGTCTAAGTTGAAACAAGGTCCCTGTACTCACATAAATGGACCCTGGAAGGGCTGGCCATTTAATTCTTGCATTTTTCGTCCTCTGAACTCAACTGAAGGGGTTGCTGTTGCTTCTAGTTCCAATGCTGCTAAAAATACAGATAAGTCAGGTGTAGTGAGGGGGCTAATTGCTGTTGGTTTATCAGCATATAGAGGTGAATATGCATCCCTTAGGGAATTTTCCTTGGAGATTCGTAAAGTTCTGGAGCTTCTGGTTGCACTTGTTGAAACAAAAATTCAGGCTGGTAAAGATAAATATAAATTCTTCCGTCTACTATCACAAGTGGCATATTTTGAAGATATGGTTATTAGCTGGGCATATACATTACGGAGGTAATCCAATCCTGTCATGAATCTTAGTATCTAGATTCATTTCCGATTTTGTCATCACTTATCATTTACTAAATACTTTCTTTTGTGTCCTTTTTTGTTCTTAAGCTTAGAGGTGGATGCTCAGTCCTTGAATGGAAGTCCTAGTCTAATTGGTGCGGGATCTTTTAGCAATCAAGTTACCTGCAATGACAGTCTTCCTGAAGGTAGTGGTTGCAAACAAACTATTCCCAGTGAAATCTTGCATGAACCAGTGGGGCCAGGAGAAATTTCCCAGGAAGTCAAAGCAAACCATGTTGGTGCCCATACTATGGCAGATGATAATTTAAGTTTGCAGAACGGGGATGATGCATCTGTGCATAAGGAGGACTCGTCACAAGGTTTCCTAGATCATTCTTCCTCTGTTGAACGTATGCAAAGTCATCTGCAAAATGGGATTTGTAATGAGCATTGCATGCTTATAGATGCCAAGAATCCTACAGAAATTGTTGAAGATGAGGAGTGCAATAAACATTCTAATGGATTTGTGGAGAGAGATTCTTCTGATGGATTTGTGGAGAGAGATTCTTCTGTTCTTCTTAAGGATGGCCTTGGTGTTTTTGGTGATAAACATGGTATGGAGGTCTCTGATGCTGGGAAAACTGGCAACCAGGAAAGGTGGCCCTTGGCTCCAAATGGTTTGCCATTTGACAATGCGAAGGAAAATTCTTTGGGTTGCTCTTCAAGGATATCTACGGGCTCAAGTGATGCTGTTCTGGTGTGCATTTATCGTTGTTGCACCCAGTGTCTGGTCAATCTTTACCAGTTGTTGCTAAAACTTCTCAATTATGAGTGGAGACTTGAAGGAAGCACTGCAACTGTAGAAGATTTTCATGATTCCATTGCCTCTTTATCAGTTAGTCTTCAATCAGCAGTGAGGAAATTGTTCGCAACTGACAGTTCTAACGATGTCGGTGACGAAAAGCTGGAGGACAGTAAATACAGTCGAAGCACAGAAATGTGCGCTTGCCAACTAAAAAGCCCAGGAAAGAGGTTAGTTGTGCCAATGGAATGTGGTTGTCATCCAGCAAGCGAGAGTTTGACAACGAAAGCAAGATTCTTCCCAAACTCTCGGCATGGTTTTGATTTTAAGTATGTATTCAAGGACGGTGTACTGGTGACAACAATGGACACAGATTACAACGTCCCTTTTCACTGTAAATTTGAGAAATTATGTCTTTGTTCCCTCTTAGAGTGCATAGTGACGACCAAGGATCCTTCGGGTTGAAAGGCAGATTACCATAATCAACATAGAACTGCTTTGCGAATTCTTCTGATCCTTGCGGAATTTTGGATGGACACCTTACTGTAGAGTTGAAAAAAAAAAAAAAAAAAAAAAAGAAGTTTGGGATTCGATTTCTGTTTTGCTTTTACTTAAAGATTTTACTGCTGCATTGGCTTCCGAGGCAGAAAGTGAGGATTTATGGTAAATCTGAGCAATCTTCCACTCCATTTTCTGCCGGTGGGTAATTATATGTCTTGTAGGTTATTCAGTACTGTATCTACTTTGGGATTCAAAGTGTATTTTTTTTTTCACCAGTAAATAATAAACACACACATCCAGAATTTAAGGTAATTTCACAGGTTTACCCAAAAGGCAATTGCTGACTTCTGGGTAAATCCTGAGGACCTTAAATCTTATGGTGAACAAGCTTATCACCGATGTGGGAACAAGCTTATGGGGAGAAAGGGAAGTGGGGAGGCTTAGGAGCCTTGAAGAAGAACTCACCACACACCAATAACTCCTCTCTGGTCTTGCTTGTCTTTTCACCAGTAAAGACTGGACACACACACTTAGAATCTAAGGTAATTTCACAGGTTTATCCAAAAGGCAATTGCTCCTACACACACATACTTATCACCACCGATGCGGGAAACTGTATGATTCTTGGTATTTTGGTTGGCAGAAAACGTTATAGTAGTACTTCACTACTTTTAGCACAGCACAAGTAGACGCGTTCGTTTCTCTGCGACCTTTTAGAAAACCCACCCAACTTCACTAAATTGAGCCAAATGTGAATGTGACTGCATCAATAAATATGCACATGACCTTCAACCGAATCAACATACATAAGCCAAAAATCTATTGTACGTCATTTTTTTAATAATCAGAATCAGAATGTCTTCATCATGGGAGGAGATTCCTCGTCCTGAGGGAAAAAAGCTGCATGTGGCCATGTTTCCATGGCTAGCAACAGGCCATATGACACCATTCCCTCACCTGGCAAGCGAGCTAGCTAAAAGAGGCCACAAAGTCTCTTACTTGTTGACGAAAAAGGCTAAAATTCAGCTCGGATGCGGCAATCTTTATCCTGATCTTGTCACCTTTCATGTCCTTCCAGTCCCTCATGTTGAAGGGCTTCCTCCAGGAACGGAAAACGCTTCTGAAATCCCAATTTTCTTGAACAGTCTTTTTGCATTAGCATTCGACAACATGAGTGATCAAGTTGAAGCTGTGCTGAGTGATCATAACCCTGATGTGGTGTTATATGACACTGCTTTTTGGATCACAGATTTTGCTCCCAAAATTGGGTTTAAAACTGTGTGCTACAATGTTGTTTCTGCGGCATCCATTGCACTTGCACTCGTCCCCGCTCGACAGATGCCCAAAGACAGGCCTTTAACAGAGGAAGAATTGATGGAACCACCTCCTGGCTATTCCATCTTCCTCTGTGGTGCTGAGAAAACACGAGGCAAAGGTTTTGGCCTTTATGTCTTCCGAATTCGGTACCAGGACTTTCTAGAATCGAATCATAACCACCTTAAAAGGTTGTCATGCAATTGCGATAAGGACATGTCAGGAACTGGAGGGACAATTTTGTGACTACATTGGCGGTCAATATCAGAAGCCAGTTTTCCTATCAGGCCCTGTCTTGCCTGAGCAGGAGAAACAACCTCTGGATGGCATGTGGGCTGAGTGGTTTTCTGTGCATTTGGAAGCCAGATAATTCTTGAGAAGCAGCAATTTCAAGAACTTGTTCTGGGATTTGAGTTAACAGGGCTGCCATTTTTTGTTGCCCTGAAGCCACTTCTGGGGACCTGTTCGATAGAGGAAGCTTTGCCTGACGGGTTTGAAGAGAGGGTTGGAGGAAGAGGAGTGGTTTATGGTGGTTGGGTGCAGCAGCCACAGATATTGAGCCATCCATCGGTTGGATGCTTTGTCAATCACTGCGGATTTGGATCCATGTGGGAGTCTTTGATGAGTGATTGCCAGATTGTGCTGGTAACGCATTTAGGTGATCAAATCTTGAATTCCAGATTGCTTTGTGGTGATCTTAAGGTTGCAGTGGAAGTGGAGAGAGACGAAAGTGGTTGGTTCTCTAAGGAGAGTTTAAGCAGCGGGATCAATGCTGTAGTGGGTCCAGACAGTGAAGTGGGGAGTTCGCTCAGGAAGAGTCACTTGAAGGTGAAGGAAATTCTCTCAAGTCCTGGATACATGATTAATTATGTGGAGAGTTTCATTCAAAACCTGTATGAGCTTTAGTTGGAGGGTAATTTTATTTCTGCTGAATGATTTGGAGAGGTTTTCTCTATGTCTTCAATAAAATTGTTAGAACCTTTGGCTCCTTTTCTTGTAGCCGCTGTAGATAGTTTTTTATTCCAAGTGTTAACAGATTACTTTGATGCAGATACCGTGTTACTGTCAATACAGCACAACCAAATAGCAGTTGGTTTCGATTCGAGAAACCCTGCTAACATGCTTTGAATTTACGATGTCTAATTTGTAAGAGAATAAAGAACAATCAGCTTTAAAGAGAGGATACTTCCAGGATAGTACCATTTCAACTACCCTCTCTGTGTTTCTTCCGCTTTAATTACTTGGTAGAGGGCACAATTGTTTTCCATCATTAATCATAGGTCTTGTAAATCTTGTATGAACTTTTCAATATAATCTCCCATAAAGCTTGGACTTGCAAGGACTTCCTTCCACTTTGCATGATTCTCCCTAATTAGGCCACCAACTTCACTGTCTCTATCCATAGCAGACTTGATTGCCCTGCACAGACTCTCCCTAGAAAACCATGTGCTTTTGTTATCCCTCTCTACCTCAACTGCAACCTTCAACTCTTCAGCTAACAACCTAGTGTTCAAGATTTGGTCAGCCAGGTGTGGTACAAGCACAATCTGGCAATCGCTCATCAAAGACTCCCACATTGATCCAAACCCACAATGATTCACAAAGCATCCCACTGATGGATGGCTCAAGATAGCCGGCTGTTGCACCCAACCTCCATAAACAATGCCCCTGCCTCTTATCCTCTCTTCAAATCCTTCAGGAAGAGCCTCTTCGACAGATGTGGTCCCAAATGGTGGTTTTAAAGCTATCAAGAATGGCAAACCAGTTAACTCAAATCCCAGAACAAGTTCTTGAAATTGCTGCTTTTCCAAGACCACTTGGCTTCCAAATGCACAGAACACAACCGTGCCTGGCTCAAATCCCTTCAGCCAATTAGCCCATTTTTCTTGTAAATCTTCCTTCTCAGACTCGGGCAAAACAGGCCCTGTTAGAAATACTGGCTTGTGATACTCTCTTGCTATATAATCGCACAAAGATCCTTCCAATTCTCTACAAGTTCTGATAGAGATCGCATGGCTTCGTTTCATGGCAATTGTGATCCTGTCATAGAAAGTTATGTCCTTTCCAAATTCAAGAAATATAAATGACAATCCCTGAGCTTCGTGCCTGCGCAATAAAACTGTAGATGAAGGGTAACCTTGTGGCGGTTCCATCAGCTCAGCTCCTGTAATTGTCCTGTCTTCAACAGGTTTACGCGACGGAACTAACGCAATGGCAATTGATGCAGCAGATACAACATTGTAATTCACAGTTTTGAAACCAATTTCTGAAGCCAATTCAGGTATCCAATGTGCCATATCATAGAAGACGATGGAGGGCTTCAATTTTTGCAGCAAGTCTTTGACACGATCGCGCATGTTGTCCATGGCAGTTGCCAGTAGACTTGTGAGGAAAATGGGAACATCAGAAGCTGTCTCGGTTCCAGGAGGAAGGCCTTCAACATGAGGAACAGTTAGTGTATAGAATGTGATGAGACTAGGATGAAGATTGAAGTGCTCAAGTTGATGTTTAGCCTTGTTTGGCAACAAGAATGAGATTCTGTGGCCCTTTTCAGCAAGTTTATTGGAGAGGTGGAGGAAAGGAGTCATGTGTCCAGTGGCAAACCATGGAAACATAGCAATGTGAAACCCATTTTCATCAGCCATTTTTGCGTTAGAGTTTCTTGTCAGTAATCAGAGAACTATGGCTTCAAATTTTTTTTTCATGAATTATCAGATTTTCAATCAAGTGAAATACTAGTTTTTTTTAGTAATCCATGATGGTATGTGTTTTCCAATAACGAAATGTTAGGGCTCTTTGACTTGACTAGTTCCTGATCCAAAGAAAACTACAGTGGCTTCCTCACACACACAATCATACTTCACTTTCATGAAGCCAAACTCCTATGAATAGTTTTTTTTTTTGGTCCGTTGAATTATACAAGTTGTTTTCTTGATTCATTTATCTCTGTTTTTTTTTTCCGCGGTGGTTAAGGTCTTGCTAAATAACTGCGTTGTGGTGATTGGCAAATCGATTGAGTCCGGATCTAAAAACAGGCAAACTTTGTCGGCCTTCGATCCCGATAATGAGGTAGTGGGCCAAATGGGACATCCCTTTCGGGGACGATGGATGTTCTTGTCGATGATTCATCGAATAGTACCAAATGGAAACAAAATCCTTTTCGAAGAGTCAAGAGCGATGTCACGCCGCCTTCACCTAGGACAAATGGGTTGCTCAGTACATTACATCAATAATACATTGTTCTGTTCCAGTGAAAACAAAACAAGCTGATGATGTTCCAGTGAGAGACCTGGGCATCTCAGCTAAATATGGTGGCTGAATTGTGGAGCAGCATTCGTGATGTAATGGACTCCAGCTTGCACTTGATCATCTCCATGGGGAACCTGATTCACTTGCTGCCATTGCTTTGTTAGACAAAGACAACTGCTCTCTTGATCCTCACTTTCTTGAACCTCTCATCTTTGACCGCAGGATGCTGATCGAACCGATGTGCGGAGGAGCTTGCAAAGATGGTTGGAAATATTTTGTCTATATGTTTTCACTTATAAATTCTTGCCCTCCCCAGATAGGATCTTTTGTTAATGATGATTGTAGAGGGACTAGCTAGCTTCCCTAGAGCCTCTGTAATTGACTCTCAAACTACTGTCTTTTCATTTTGCTTTGTTTTATCCCAAAAAAAAAAAAAGGACAAGAAGAAGAAGAAGAAGAAGCTGATGATGTTCACAAAGGAAGACTTGACTTGGGTCTATTTCCACTGCAAAAAACGACAATTTTCAAAGTTATTTTTCTACAAAGCACACACAGGGATCATGGCTCCACAATTCGAGAAATATTTGCAAGTGACAACAAAACTTGTAGTAGTAGTAAATTCAAATTGTTTGAATTATTATTACAATCTGAAAGTCATTCTCAATCTTCTCAAAGTCGATCGGTTCTTCAACTCTAAATTATCAGTAGTGTAACATTTGAAGGGCTTCCACATTTATCGTACATTATTTTGTTGAGATAACTATGAATGACAGCAGCAGATGACATGGTTTAAGCAAAGAATGGATGAGGGCACATGCGTATGCAGGTATTTCCATTCTAAACAGGAAATCTAGAAGACAAAAATAATAATAATAATAAAAATACCAACATAGTCATATATAGTTTCCTGCATGAATTTCTATAGGAACGTTTCATTAATAAGGACCACAAGTTGTCAATTGGCTATAGAGACATTAATAAGTGCAAATTGAGATATTCAAGTCGAAATTAATATGTGGGATGGGACGAATATTGGCAACTACTCCGTTTATATTAGCTGTTTTTGAGGGGTGTTTTTGAAAAAATTTACTGTGACAGTGTATATGAAAATTTTTATTATAAATATTTTTTGATATATTGTATGAATGAGATGTTTTTTGAATTATTTTTATTTGTGTATTATTATAGCATTGTATTTGAAAATTTTATTTTTAAAAAAATGACTAATCCAAACGGAGTCCTTGTTTTTTTATTTTCTTGTGTTCTTTTTCTCTATCTTTTAAGAGTTAAAAACTTAAAATCACCCCGAGCGTGTCCGATAAATGTGCTGCTATCCCAAATCAGATTTGTTTGCATTATAGAATTAATCCCAATTTAAAGAAATTAAAAAAATGTGTTTCTAGTGATCTGGCCTTCCATTTTTTGTTGGGGGGGTTTTTTTTTTTCTTCCCATTGATAGTTGAATTGGTTATTGATCCCATTTGAGTTGGAACTCAACCCTGTTTGGATTGCCATTTTCTGCCAGAAAATTGCGTCGTTTTCCGTGATCACATTTCCCTATTACCTTTTTCCCTCACATACATCAAATCGCTACAGTAATTTTTCCATGAAAAATGACGAAAAATGCAATCCAAACGGGACTTTAAAAGATTGAGTCAAGCAAGCTGGAGCAGATTGGCTTCATTTGCGCTACATTCGATGGTGGGTACAGATATTCGATGGTGGTTGCAATTTACAGCTCCTCATTTGCGCTAATCAGGACTCATTAAACAAAAAAGATTGATTGGATCAATTAGGAATTAGTATAAATGTGTAATTTTATAGCCTCGGCAACACAACGCAACTGGGATCTCCATCTCCTTATAATTATGAAGGCCTCAAATCCTCCACATGACCCAAAAAAAAAAAAAAAACAAGGAATTAGGCCTAGGTTCGATTATCATCGGTAGTTGTCAGCATGTAATTACGTATCTAAATCAGTTAGCTGTCTCATAAGTATATAATCTGAAGGAAATTTAACAAAACACTTTTGGACAATCTTCTTTGTCCGTATATAATTAGTGGTGAGCAAATTATTTGGATGGCCACTAAACTTTTAGAATCATTAAAAATTTTGGTTATTGAACTATTAAAAATTTAATTTGGACCATTGAACTATCTAAAGTTTAGGTTCCGTGCCATTCCGTTAAATTTGATCGTTAACTATATCAGATTTGAGTGTCTGCATGATTTACGAGATAAAAGAAAAAGGCATACTTAACGATCAAATCTAACGAAATGACCCGAAACCTAAATTTTAAATACTTCAGTGACCAAAATTAAACTTTTAATAGTTCAATAGTAAAAATTTGATGATTCTAAAAATTTAGTGACCATCTGAATAATTTGCTCAGTTAGTTATCCATAAACAGAGGGCCAGCACATGGGTTGGGGGGGTCTGTGCTGTCATAAGCTCGTGTTCCATCCTTCCATCCTTCAAGCAATTAAACCCTCTCCATCTGTGCTGACTTGTTCCAATTAAATGTGTCCACCTCCCCTTTCTCATCAAAATATAATTATATTATATTGTCTCCCAGATAATTATTATATTAGTCCAAGACTTCACAGACTTGCGTCCACATTATATTGATTGCGTAACAATCTAATATAGTATAGTATAGCATAATATGCCCAATCCCACATGGCCTTCCCAGTCAGCCCAGACAGCAGCTTTTTGTACAGAAGTCGGATGAAAGATCAAGAAATCCCATGTGGGCTTGCTGCAAGAACTTCTGTTTCTGCAGGTATGGAGGTGATTGATGATTCTTCTTGCGACTCCTCAACTTGTAAGCATCAAGAAATGGCGGAGGAGGAGCCTGGAGATCTCCTTGACAAGTCTTGGTTTTTTGGGAACTTGCTTGACAGAAAAACAACCAGGATGTGTAGATGGTATTCTGATCCTTGTCCTTCCTCTGGCTTAGCTGATGAAGAGATTTTGGTTGGAAAATCATATGAAGAAACCTTCTCATCGTTAAACAAACTACCACAAGGGGATGAGTTAACTCCTTCAGGGTTGATGAGAGCGCCGTCCTTGCCAGAAGAATCGACTTATCATGCAGGAGGAGGTACCTATCCTGCGCGCAGGGGAAGCAAATCAAGACTAGAGAAATCGAGTAACAATCTGTTTCGTGCACCTTCTCTTCCAACTTCTCTAGGAAGAGAAGAAACTCAAGATGAAGAAAGTGATTTTTCGATGAGCAAGTTGATTAGGCAAGCATCTTTGAATCAATCAGACCTGTTGCCCCCACGGCGGGTTCCGATTCCGAAGGTAGAAATCTTGCTTTTTTTAATCATCAATTTATACCTTGATCTACATGGCAAATCTTGTTCAACCTCTAGAAGGGTCCATGCATGAGCAGTTCATCATTTCATAGGAAATATTAAATCGCTATCATGATTGAGTTTATTGAATTTTGCTGCTGCATAGTTCAGAATCAAACCCGTTCTCTGAACGACTATAATTGCCTTCCAGGGTCTAACACAAAGTTCAAGCACACCTAGGCTGCGGCCGCGAAGAAAACCAGATTCGGAAAGCTGCAAAACAGAGAGCCCCGAAGGGGTGATGATCAGAAGGCAACACCCCCTTAATCAGGCCAAGTTATCAAGAAGCTCGAGTGACCTTATTGTAGAACTTCAAGGTCTTAAGGACTTGAGTATCAAATTTGACGACAAAGATTTAGGTCCAAGTCTGCAAGAAAAGAAGCAGCAACAGTTTTGTCTAAATGAAGGTAAGTTGAGGAAGTCCTATACAGCTGATCAGGCATGGCAGCCTGAGAACCCTGCATCTCCAATGGGCAAGAGGTCGGCAGAAGATATGAAAGCACAGATCAGATTTTGGGCTAGAGCTGTAGCCTCGAATGTGCGCCAGGAATGCTGATAACTAACCATACAATCATACATGTATGCTGATCATCATCTGAACTTGAGAATATGGGTTAGATCCTTGGATAGAATCATCGATTTTGGTAACACTCTGCAATTTCTATCATATATTTACCAGATTACTGCTGTAATTGATCTAAACACATTCTTTGGGTTTGGGTTAAGAAGGATTAAACTTTTGTCATTTATAGCAATAAATTCTGATTCAATCAATCAATCTTTATGCTTATGATTGTTGCTGGGCATTATTGATGTATGAGAAGCTATATAATATAACTCAGCATGTGATGAGAGGATTGCTTTCTTGACTTTTAATTAATGACCTGGAAACTGGCTGCCATCCCTACAAAATGGTAGAAAAATTGTGAATCAAACGAGCCATGATTGCCAATGCCACCCACTTGTCTGGCTAAATTTGCGCCCTTTTTCTGCGACAAAGGCAATAATTTGTCAATTCAGTAGTTATGAAAGAAAGTGGATAAAGACAAAATGACAATTGCAAGTCCAATTGCCAATGATCTGGCCCTTTTTTTTTCCTCTTCTCTTCTCTCTTTTTGTGTAGATTCACATTCTCTGTGTGTGGTTTGCTCTTTTAGTAGGTGAGTTAGTACTGGAGTTTGGATATGGAGTCATAAATGTCACATTAAAGTGCAAAGAAATTGAAGCAGACTCCTCTTTGTATTCAATGATTTCAAGAAGTTGGCCCGTGAAGATGAGAGCATTTCAACTGCTTCGAAAGGCAGGAATCATTCTTTCATCTTGTAATCCAACTGCTGCAACTGCAATGCATATAGGCCTAAGATGTTTGAGGATGAAGAGGTATATTGGTCAGGTTGCTTGTCAACTAGAAGGGTTCAAAGGGAGGATTGGAATTGGATAGAACAAGAATTTTTTTTCTTCTTTTTGTTTTGTGGGTGTGCTTCATATCATATAGAGTATAATTCGAGTTCTAATCCAAGTGCTGTATCCCAGACCAAAGCCTAAAGTTAAACCTCTGTTGGGAAATTGGGCTTCGGCCTAGTTGGCAGTCTTCTGGAAGGGAAAGAAAAAACCTTTGTTTGGTACATTGGAATACTCAGAATGTAAAGGTCTTTTCACCAAAAAACGTTTTTCGAGTCAGAATGATATTAAAAAAAATTTCCGTTCCAATGTCTCAGTATTTGGTACAATCAATTTTTAGATGTCGAAATGGAATAAATAAAATTGATTTAATTACCTTGAAATCTGTTATTAAGCATTGCATATTTTTGTTTATTCATGCTATGCTATTTGTTATCTTATATGAGGAACTTTGATTCCTTTTTTTGTACATTATGAATAAATTATGTACTTATTAAAATAATTTGATTTCAACATTTTATTATTTTTAAAATATGATATTCATTTCAAATTTTTTAAAATAACAATATAATTACTAACTTACAAAAAAATAAATCACATGAAGTTAAACATTCATTTTCTGTCTTTATTATTTTTTTCACTGTTTATGTCAAGTGCCAAAACAAATCCATATCCATTTGCACAAAAGTCTAAAAGAACAATATTATAAAATTAGCAAAGGAAAAATATTTAAAACCAACTAGAATGGTTTGTTACAAAATTATGGTAAATTACTGATTAAACTAACAAACAACCTACTAATTGGTAATAGAACATAGAGATGTAAGGATAAACTTGACCCCAGTCATTCGAAGATAAAGGTGGAAAGAACTTTACTTAGAATTTTGCAACGAACGGATTTTAAAAAAAGAAAAAAAAAAGGTTAGAATGACCTTTTCAGTGAAAAAGGTTTTTTTCCAACTCAAAAGGTTCATATCAAACATAACAATGGAATAGACAAACTGGAAAGGTCTCTCCATTTAAGGGAGAAGCGAGAAGATATGAACTTATTTAATATAGTCTGTTCAGGAGGAAAAGAAAAATTGTTCAGAAGATTTAAGGAGATAATAGAAGAAACCATCATATCATGCATATGTTTTACCAGTTGACATATCCTGCATTGACACTATTCATGCTCTTCTCCTCTCATCATCATTTAGAACTGCTAAATGAGTGAAACTCTTTGGCAGGGCTACAAACGAATCGAGCTGCTCACGAGCGGCTCGAGTCAAGCTCGAGCTCAGAATATTAAGCTCGTTAGCTCGCGAGCCGGCTCGTGAGCTTGAGTATATATATATTTTTTTTTATTTTTATTTTTATTTAATAATAAAATTACGTATATTATATATATATTTTTTTATTTTTTATTTTTATAATAAAATTACGTATATATCCTTAATATTTTATTATTTATTAAGAAAAAAATATTATTTTATTTATTTTTTTCGAGCTCGAGCTCGAGCTCGAAAATTGCCGGCTCGTCGAGCTCGAGTTTGGTAAAATTTAGTCGAGACTCGGTTCGATTAGCTCAAAACTCGATTCGACTCGGCTCGTTTGCAGCCCTACTCTTTGGGACCATACCATCTAAATTATCATGCATGAAAAAGTAACGTATGCTATGACCCTGGTGACTCTCTTAATTCTATTCTAAGTCCTGTATTCTTTGTTGCTAATGATTTAAGGTCAAGTTTAGGGTTCCAAATTCTGGAACTTGGGGGAAAAGTGCAAGTAAAATTCTAAGAAAACCAATTCCCTTTCATATCTTCAAACCAAATAAAAGGAATTATGTAGTAAATTCTGACTAAAACTAACAGGAATAAATCAAGAAAACAAGAAATTGTTAGAATCAAGACATTCATATTCTTTTGCAATGTTCAACTCCATTGCTTTCCTCTACCAATGGGGCATCATGGGACCGCGGAGATTTATCCCTGGTAATACCCAAGGGCTTTTCTATTTCCCTAAAAAAACACAGAAAAAAAATCAAGAGAATGAATTATGATTTTGGTAGTAGATCTCGCATAAAGAAAAAACTGAAAGTACAGAAGCAGAATCAAGAAGCATCACCGTAAACTCCTCCTTATCACTCAGGCCTCACCATGCCTACTCTAACTCTAAAATCACCCCATGCTCAAATCTTCCAAACTCCACCACATTGCTTCTTCCCCTTCCCTCAATCTTCCTCTTCCCTCCTCACCTTTTCTCCTCTGCCCATTTCCCTTTCTTCTCTTAACTTCCTCTGTAAGTCCCTCACAGCCACCATTTCCCGCTCTGTCTCAGCCCACAACCACCATACAACCACTGAACCATGGCTGGCCCAACTCCCAGAACAACCCAACACCACCGCCACTGTAGAAGAGGCACCTCCAGAAGAGGGCCCAATAGAAATCCCATCTTCCAGTCCTTCCGTTTTCGCCACCTCCGACAAGCCTACTCCCATCCAAACTGCCACCAGTGTCCTCCTCACTGGCGCCATCACTGTCTTCCTCTTTCGCTCCATCCGCCGACGAGCTAAACGCGCCAAAGAATTGGTATGTCAGTCCAACTATAATTGATGCCCCATTCTGTATGATGAATTTGGTAATTCTTTAACTTTAATTACTAATCCTGTATATTAAACTCTAATTGTTTCTGAATAGCATACGTTTTAATTTGCCAGTGGGATGATTATCGCTGTGTAGCAGCTGATTATTTGGGTGTTCTTGGTTTCTTGAGTATATATTCAGGTGTAAAGTTGGGATTTTTTTGCAGCTTTAGAGGAGTTTTTTAGCTAAAGTGTTGTTACTTTTAGGATTGAGGACTTGATGCATGCACTTTTATGAGAAGATGATGCCTTTCTGATACTGATAGGACGATATATAAGCTTGTATTGCAAGTTGTAATGCGATGAGTAGTTAGAAGAGGCATGTAATGTTTGATTATTTGTATCTTTGGGTGTTCTTAATGTGGAAAATTTGACTAACTCTTGGTGGGATTAGAAACTTAGGTCATCAGGAGCTAAGAAGTCGTTGAAGGAGGAAGCATTGGAGAATTTAAAGGTAATGGTGCCAACACCGATTGATGCTAAGTCTTCACCTTCACCTGTTCAAGCATTGCTGGGAGGTTTAACAGCGGGTGCCATTGCGTTGCTTCTTTACAAGTTCACCACCACTATTGAGGCTGCTCTCAATCAGCAACCACTTTCAGATAACTTCTCAGTTAGTCCTTTGATTAGCTTTAGCTTTATTCACGTAGGTTTGTGATATTGACCTGGTTACGTTTAACATGATATGTGTTGGGAAAAAAAACAGGGGTATGAAAGGTAAGAATTCATGTCCCAAATAAGATGCGTTTAAAAAAAAAAAAAAAAAAAAGTCTCAAATGAGATGGTTGCTCAAAACTATTGTACGTGAATTTTGTGACAATTTGCTTTATAGATAGTAGTTTGGTTTAGCTAGTGCATTTTGTTTCATTACATGCAATGAGAGAAAAAAGGAAGGAGTTTCAGTTTTTATTGTGAATAAATAACACACCCATAATCTATTATCACTACTCAAGTTCCCCTATGCAAGTCCAGAGTTGTGGTAAATTTCTGTGTGATACTACTTTTCCAACTCAAGAGTCAGCAATTTTTAGAGAAAATTGTTTGCGATACTAATTTTCTGTCTGATACTATAAGCTAATATAGTTGTGTGCTCAGAAGTGTTTAAATGATGAGTCATCATTGAAATGAAACTAGAGAGCAGTGTAACATTGTCATTAAAAGTTGTCCTAATATAGTTGTATGTTCAGGAATGTTTCTGTCTGATACTAGTTCTGGTTCATCTTGTGTCCTGTAATTAAGCATCTCCACAATGTAATAGTGCAATTGCATTATTACTTGCCTTCTAAAACCTTGAATTGTTGTTGATGCTTTAAAACTGATTAATCATGTTGAGATGCAAGTTACAATTATATGTACTCTCAAATTGGCATCCCTGCCATAATAAGCACTTTCATGGGACCCAAAGGAAAGAAGCACCTCGTTTATCATATTTCTGAACCTTCTTAGTAGCTTGACTCTTTTCTTGATTATTTTTCATCTTCGGGTGTTGAGATTATCTTTCTATGTATTCCAGGTTCGCCAGATAACCATAACCATCAGGTATGCTCTGTATCTGTATTATCTCATACAGCTATGTCCATTTAGCTGAGAGATCTACAAACTCTCCAAGCCACAAAGAAAAAAATGAGGCAAGATTTATAAACTCTTCTTATCATCTCCATGCAGGACTATTGTCAACGGTTTGTGTTACCTTGCTACATTTGTCTTCGGCATAAATTCTGTAGGATTACTTCTTTACTCTGGCCAGCTTGTGATCAACTCCTTTATGGGAGATTCTCCACCAAACGAGTCAAAAAATGGAGGTGAAGCACAGGTAAAATCATCAGATGAATCACCGAAAGGTCCCATTGACAGTTCTGGGATAAGGAGTCTTAATGAGGATCCAAGTTCAGATAGTTCACAATAATTGCAGATATAGCTAACAGGTTGGTGGGAACAGTTTCAGTTCCTTTTGTGTGCAACAGCCTCTCATATATGTATTAGTTTTTCTGGTAATGATCTACATCTCTGTATAATGACGCTTTTTATCTCTGCAGTCATTCCTAATTCTATTTTTGGTTACCTTAGTAGTCAACCTTTCTTCTTCTTTCTCTTTTTTTCCTTTTGAGTACAATTTACGTCTGTCTTGTTTATATATGTAGCTAGAGTTTCCAATCATTCTTTTTTCTTCTTTATTTCCTTCTCCCTCCCCCAAAACAAATGAGAAATATTAAGGCAAACTTTCCTTGCCCTATTAACTTGACACTGATATACATGACAAGTTTCATGGTGAAGATCAGTATATGCCATATTGTACATGATCTTCTTCTTGCAAAAATAAAATAATAATAATTATAAGCTGCAAAGCTGGTTTATGTAGCCATTTTTCTTCATTATTTTTTATACTTCTGTGTGACCATTTCCTAACTTGTAGAATTTATCCTTAAGATGAATATCTTCTGTTTAAAACTAATCTGTCAAGAAGCTAAATTCTTCTTTCATATGCAGACACCAAAGCCCTCTAGTAAACAAGATTGAATTTAGACTATAACATCAGGGCAGAGGTTAGCCATTGATTTTATTCAAGCTGAAGAAGGAAAATGCTGTTCTTAAATAGGTGTGCTGACATTAGTTTCACATGAATTTTCCCAGATGTTGTGTTTTTGAGAAGGTCTACGGAAACGGGGATCCCAGCGGTTGTAGTTAATTTGCCTCGTCTAGAACAGGCAAAAGGAAACTACTGATTCCCTTGTAAGTTACAAATTTGGAAGGAAATGAATGAACTGGAGACAAGGAAACTTCTGATTTGCTTGTATGCATTGTGGATCTTCAATCTTTGTAAAGGTAAAAAAATCTTTGATAAAAACTGTGTACAATTGTGAGTTACAATGTAAATTTTTTTGGTAAATTCAGCAAGAAAAAGGAGAGGTCGTGATTACTCTAGGTAATATTGTTGTATAGGACTGAAGAGTTGATTGCGTTTGAGAGATTCTGCATCGTCTGTAGTTGACTAAGCTTTCAGTCAGGAACCATATATCCAACTGGGAATCACCCGACTGACTGTCTACTTCCTTCCTTGTGGTCGTCTTTCATGATGCTCAACAGCTTTGGTGACTTTAGACACGTCCTGACCAATCCGTGGATAGTGATACAAAACTGTTGTATTTGCGTCCAGCCTAAGCAACAATCCCACCATGGTGACAGAGGAAACAAACATTGGAATTGGACCAAAGACCCACAGCAGAAAAGTGGTGGCTAAATAGAGCACCCTCATGCCAAATTCGTAGAAAATACTTCCTGTTATCATTTCCTTTTCAATGTAGCTCATAGGAACATCCGCGTTTGGCATGGTCATGAGAAAACTAGCATTAACCAAGCACCTTGAAGTTTGTACAAATGAGCCAAAGGCCACCAGGAAGCAGACAAGTAAAGCCACATACTTGATAGAAATAACTGAAGGACTTGTGGCTCCATATATAAGGTTGCTCGTAAAGACTGTCCTGTTAGAACTCCCCAGCCATGCTCCAATTAAAGAGCTCAGCACTAGAGAAATTGAAGACAGCGCAGATGCTGCTGACATGGTGTTGGCAATCACTGATAATGCCGGCCTGTCTTTGGCATCAATCTGCAGAACATTTTCAAGGTGCTCATAAATGAATGTGCCATATCAATCTGCAGTTTATTTTCAAGATCCCAGCAGAGAACCAAAAAGGTAAAAACTACTTGCACAAAGAAATCAAGAAAAAGAAAAAAAGGATGTGAAGTTACTGACCTCCATCATTCTTTCAACCCAAACTCTTCTGTTGTGATTCTCATATCCGATGGTTGTGGTGCTTGGATATCTGAGGTACCTATACAGAAGGAAGAGATGGTACCCGAACAAAATGAATAAACTCGCAGGTACCAGAATTACATCCAAGAATTCCTTCCTCCATGCCCCCCACATTCTTCCAGCTATGTCTTCTCCAAGAATACGAGTGTTTTTGCAGACAAAGAAACTATCACTCAACGTCAACCATCACTGCTAGTTATATTCTCCGCCACTCCAATATGGTATAATTGGAAAATGGCAACTCTTATAAGTTCCTCGTATCACCCTCCCGGTATTGAAGGTTTGAGCATGCTTTTGGCTATATTTTATTTCACTTATTTTATAGCTACACTCAACTGGAGATGATACTACTAATTAAATTATCATGTCATGTTGCAAAACTGCTATTGGATCAAAATGTTACGCGTTCCTTCACAGATGTTTTGTGAATAGAATATAGGACTGGTTGTTGTTGTTGTTTTCACCATTGATAGACTTTTCCTTATGGTACCTTTTTTTAAAAAAAAAAAATATCAAAGTGGCTATAGAACCCAACCTGATTGGTTCTTTTTTTTTTAGTTGATCAAGCTTGCTCATGCATGAGTCATGAAACGACGTGGTATCCAAATCCAGCTGCTGGAAAGTTATTATGGAGTATGGACGATTCCTTAGCGTGTCAACAAAATATTTCTCCTGTGATGCGTGTGGCGATTTTTCAAGCGTCCACTGCCAGTTTTTTCCGGAAATAATGGCCATAAAGTCATATTTTTAAAGCTTCAAAGTATTAAACAGAAGTTGAGTTCTCATTCAACACAAAAAGCAAGCCATTCAACGGCCAAAAGGGTGGGGGGTGGGGGAAAGCTACTTTTATCTTTACTGGTTGCTGATGCAAAAAATCACCATATCCTTGATAAAGGATGAACTCAATTGATATCTCTTCATTTCAAATCCACATTTTGTACAAATCTTGAGCATAAGTATGTACAATTTGATGCGTGGCCAATGGTGTGGACTCACTGCGAAGTTAAGAGTGAGTCCAAGAACTGGCTTAAACATCAAGCATATCAATAATAATTCGAAATACAAGAAAGTTGTAACAAGTCATAGATAAGAGGCCAACACTCAAAAGCCATTGTGAGAGGTAAGAGCCGGTGCTGCACTTGTAATACTGAAATGAAATAGCTTAGAGCAAGTAATATAGCAACTGAATGATGTGATACTTCTTGTTTTCTGCTCTTTGTGTGTGTGTTTTTTTTCTCCCCACCTTCAAGAAGAGAAAATGTGACAGTTCCTACTTGTGCTTATGGAGAAGTTCCGTAGTGGTAAATGCATGATGATTCCATATGACTATGCCATGTATAAATACCCACTAATTGTCATTTCTTTCTTGCTCACTATCTTGAGAGAGAGAGAGAGAGAGAGTTGCTATTCTTCGAGCTTAGCCAAGAAATAAGGATGGTATTTACATCAAGGAATTGAATTATTATTGGCTCCGTTTGGATTGCTTATTTTTTTAAAAACAAGTTTTTGAAATATAATATTACAGTAATATACAAAATTTCAACAACTTCAAAAATACCAAAAACAACCTCAAAAACAACCTCATCTACAGGAAAAAAAAAAAAAAAATTTCACCTACATTGCTACAGTAAAATATTTCAAAAACACCCCTATAACGGAACCATTGTTTTTTTCATTTGATTAATGGGTGGCTACTAGCAATCATTTAACTAAGATGCATCTCATTTTTTTAATGCAAGGAGAACAATGAATATGAATTTAGACAATCACATAATAAAAAATGTAATTTAAGTACACCGAGTGTTCATAGAGCAACCATTAAAAAATTCTTACTTTTTTATACAGCAAATGTTATATAGGTACCTTGACATGTTAGTAAAGTTTCCTATCTCCATTTTCTCTTCCAATTTTGGAGATAAAACTTACTTTTCTTTTCTCTCCATCCTTGCCTACTAGAACTTCCAAGTAAGAGAAACAATAAATAGAACTCTTTCTTATTGTTCCTTTTCTTTAAAGTTTCTTCCCATTTGTCAACTCCCAAAGGAAACCAAATAAGTTTACAAAGACTTTTGGAAAAGGAAATTTCTTCCTTGTGCTGGAAACCAATCATTCGTTAGTATTTCAGTCTCTCTCTTGTGTAATTTTTTCTTGGTCAACCTTGATTCCCGTTTTGTATATACTGGGGTGGACAAGGCTGGCAAACACAAAGTCAACGGCTAACTATGCCAACTGATATACAGATGTACGTAGCTTGTAGTATAAATTTGGGTGCCATTTCCAATCCAAATTGACAAGAGATCCTTATTATGCAATTAAACACTAGGGAAAAAGAGGTCTTAACTCTTAATTACATTGAAATTTCAAAATAGCAAATAGGTTAATGAATCTCAGAGATGCAAAATCCCATAAATCAAGAAAAAAGGGTATGAACAATGCAAAGATGTTTGAATTGTTACTGAAATTTTGGATGCAAAGACTCAAATAATATTAGAGTATGTACCAAAGTCATAAATCTACTCTGAAATTCCGAAAAAAGTGTTGTATCTAAAGCCTTGTTTGCGATTGCATTTTTTGCGCAAAAAAAAATTTTGAGATTCCGTGAGAATATTTTTATCACATTTTTCAATGACTTTCTTTATAACTCGTATATCACATCTTCAAAAAAATACTACTACAATATATAAACGGGCCCTAAGCTTTTAAAATCCATACTGTGTGCGGGGAGTAATCTTGGGCCAATTATTAATCATTTGGATTGTCTATCTGCACTCTGGGTCCAAGTTCGGACCATGATTCTCTTACACAAAACTCTGCGTAAATATATTCGAACTAGCTCAGCTGTGAGGGAGTTGGGGGAGACGAGAAGGACCCAACCCATTTAAGGACCCAGAATCACGTCAGAACCATCTATTGGAGTCAGATTGGGTTGGCTGAGAAACGTATATCATTTTTTTTTTTGTCACAACGGTAACATTTCTATAACCATAGGAGAAAGCCACTGAAGCAGCCATATACAGTGACAATTTGATAGAAACAAGAGTTGAACCCTTAATCTTCCAACACCAGGCAAAGGGCTAGTGGCGAGAAACGTATATCATCCAACATATGTAATCTGTCCTCTTCCTTTTCTTTTCTTTTTTTTTTTCCTATTTGGTTTGTGTGTTGAACAAATAGTTATGATTCTCATATTTATAAGAGAAAGTAGGTTATTGTATATGAATAATTTTTTAATAAAATATTTAGTATATATATATATACACGAGCGAACGAACGAGTGGGTGAGATGTATGTCATGTAATCTGATTTCAAATTTAAAATTCACTTTGTGCATATGTGACATACATCTACGTTTATTAGTATAAAAATTCGTCTACACTAACAGTATATAAAAATTTAATCCAATATTCCCCACTCTCTGCAGCAAATTTACCTCTAATGTGATGATTTAGTGGCATAATTTTTAAATTACTCTCATAATTCTTATGCATTAGTACACGCTATTAGACATATGATAAATTATTTTGTGGACAATACACACTTGGATTAGATCTCTCCTCTTTCCAACTTGAAGCAATTTGCCAAAAAGAAAAAGAAAAAGAAAAAGAAGAAAAAGTTAAAGTGCATAACTGAAAAGCCAATTGCAAGTCTGACGCAAACTTCACGTGAGGCTTCCCAAAGCACCAATCCTATGTTTGGACGTATGTTGCCATGCATTAATACACAGCAGAAGGTGCCAATTCGTTACTGAGGAGAAAAAGAGAAAAAGGCAGCTTTCAAACTTTTAAGGCTTCACCCCACCACTGTATATACAGCATTGGCCACTCCGCATTGTAAACCGGCAACAGTCCCTTTCTGCTTTTGCCGGATCCCCACTTTTTTCATCCATGGCCTTCTCCAAAGAGAACGACCCGAAGCATAGCATCAAAGTGAGTAACCTGGGGAAAAAAGGTAATATGGGAATGTAAAGTTAGGATCTTTAGACCTTTTAGAATCTAGGACGAATTGGTGGATAAGACTGGCAATATTGGAAAAGACAGCAATGCTTTGATCCTTTTCACAAAGCAAATTAAAGTTCCGGGGCTTGGAGATATTCATGTCAACAGACTTTTTGGTTAGGTAATAATCTGCTGTCTTGCTAGCTTCTCCACAAACAAATTTCACCACAATTTTACATTAGACTCTGTGTATTGTCGGACCCACTCCAACACATATTCCATGAAAACATACATTGGTGAACAAAACCTAAGATGTCATATACTACATGATGGACTAATTATTTTACGAACTTGAAAACAAAGGATTTCATTTCTTCTTCTTTTTTTATGCTTATGTACCATAAACATATATTCTAAGCATGATTTTCATAGCCCATCTACACAATGTATCAAAAGATCCAAACTCAGATACAAGACTTGCATTTAGTTCCTAATTCACTTTCCAATCGGCTATGCATGAAATGTGTGTTGCTTTCTTGATCTGACTCTAGTTTAAGGTTACTTTTGTATAGTTGGCTACCGTTCCGGTGCGATGATGCCTGAGGATCCCTGACCGTTCTTCTGCATGAGATGGCGAGTTCCGGATGGCTGGTACTGATGCAAAGGCGTGGTATTTGTATCTAAATGATGCAAAACTGCCACAGTGATCACCGAAGAAACCAGCATAGGAATCGGACCAAAAATCCACATGAGAAAAGTGATGGCAAAATAGAGAGCCCGCAAGCCAATTGACCAGAAAGTACTTCCTCTGATCACTGCTTTCTCAATCTGGAGCACAGGAATGTCACTATCGGGCGTGGTTATGAGGAAATTTGCAAGAACAAAGAACCCTGCAGTCTGAACAAAGCATCCAAAAGCCACCATGAAGCAGCAAAGAAGAGCTATGTATTTGATGGAAGCAGTTGACGTGCTCGTGTCTCCATAGACGATCCTGCTCTTGGTGATGATGGCGGAATTGCCCCCAAGCCATGCTCCAATAAGAGAGCATAAAACCAGTGAAATTGAAGACAGGGCAGTTGCTGCTGACACTTGGCTGGTGATCACAGATATTGCCATGCTTTTGTGACGACCTTCAACCTGCAATTCGTTTGCCAAAGAGATCAGTTGGTTTTTAAATTAATTTTCTATACATTGACAATGTATGCACTTTCATCATTGGATGCATGACATATAATCTGAATTTGAATTTAAAACTGAAATTTTGCATATGTGTCGTGCATCTAACCATGATAATATATACACTGTCAGTTCATATAAGATTTACTCTTATATATATATATATATATATATATATATATATATATATATGTCGTTAGCATAAAATCAATTCCTCTTGGCTTCAGGTTACAATTTGGCATGTAATGTGATTAGGGCAAATACAGTTGGCTTTCGATGAAATTGATACGGTATATTCATCTCAAAATTAGAAATACACTTAAAGATATATGTTAGGTTTTGTACATGATTTACACGTATAATAAAAATAAAATAACATTAATATACACCAAATCGTATAAAACATACTACAATAAAGGCACAATCACATCAAAATTTCTTGCTATTACAAACGAAAAAGTTGTGGGGAAGGGGGTGGATTTATGTCCCTGACCTGTACCATTCGGTCGACCCAAGCTCTCTTGTTGTGATGCTCATAGCCAATGACTGTGGTGTGTGGATATTTTAGGTACCTGAGGAGAAGGAAGAGGTGGTATGCAAACAAGATGAAGAAACCAACTGGCACCAGCACAAAATCCAAGTATTCCTTTCTCCATGTTAGCCCCATCAATCTTCCTGTCTTGCTCCAAAAATCCAAGTCCTCAATCTGTGTGGAGTTTGCGAGTGAAGTGCCAATCAATTTGATAATATACACATTGATTAACATTAGAAGCCTTTTTCTTTTTCTTTTTTTAAGTTTAGTTCGAAGCTAGTGGGTTTGGTAATTTCCAAGGAGTCAAACAAATACTTTACTTAAATGTTTGGTTGAGGAATGATGTAATTGATGTGTTCGTTCGAGTATGAACAAATGGTAACTCCTAAAATATTTCATCACACTGCTTGATCTCTCTCTCTCTGTGTCCCGGCGGCTAGTGGTTTTTTTGCAAACTTTTCCTCTTTCTTAAACGTTACTGGCTGATAAGGTAAGATTTCAGTTTGGACCTCCTGTGTAGGTGGGGGATACTGCTGAGGAAGCCTGCCTAAATATGATTAGCAAATCAAGAAACCAGTTTAACAGCGTCTAATTACTCTGTTACGGCTAGCTCACACTAAAGAAATGTTAATGCAGATGGGGTATAATATGATTGCTTGGCTTGTTTTCTTGTACTACTTCTCTGGGCTCTTTTTTATGCTGCTCTGGAGTAAGATATTTGTAATTCTAAACTTGGGAATTGGAGAACATGCCAGCGAAGTTGCTACATATGCTGCTAGTCAATTTCCGGTAGTTTAAGTAGAGAGCAGAGAAGATGCCGGAGAAGATTCCCTTGCATGCAGGGTTTATCTGGTAAAAGAAGCTGCAAAGTGCAAAAACACCAACTTAATTGATCCTCATCTCCCGACATAGTTTGAGGGATCCTCAATAAATATATTTTTTTAAAGGGATCCTCAATTCACTTATGCAATTGTGTTTGGATTGCAAGTTATAAAAAAACAATTCCAATGTTTTCGTCGACATATTTTTCAATTATATTTTTACCTTTCATATATCAAATCGTTACAGAAATTTTTCTATAAAAAATTCAGAAAAATACAATCCAAACAAGGATCTAACTCGGCTAGTCTTCTCTAACCTTCATACACCAGTAAGCAATTGCCATGGTTGAGGGCCATTTACCACGGTTGAAGACAAAAGGGCCGATTGGAGCTTTTAAAAATTTTAGATAAAAGAGAATTATAGTACTGTAAAAATCTCTGTTTGGATAGAGGATTATTAGCCAAAATTTATTTGCTTACATCTCATTACAATTTCCAACACACCTTTTTATCTTCCCAATTACCTTTTTATCTCACATACATCACATCAAAAAAAGTGATACAGTGAAAATATCTCAAATGTCACTGGACCTTTGGTCCAGTGGTCATCCCAAGCCTTCTTAGGCTTGGTGGTGCGGGAGGTCAAGGGTTCGAACCTTACCTCCCACAAAATTTGTCACATTATGTGACGGTTTTCATTGACCAACTTCGATGGAGTTTCTACTCACATCGAGTCCCCTCCCCCCTCCTCCTTAGAATAGGCTAGCTTAGGTTATAGGAATTCTATCGTATCGATAAAAAAAAAAAGAAAATATCTTAAATAATTTACAATCCAAACCGAGCCATGTGTTTCAAAGAAATTTCAAGAAAACTCGCAATCCAATGCTACCATCTTCTGCTGCTGCTGCTATTTGGTCAGCAATAGAATCCGAAGTCATGTCCCAAACATTCATTCCACTCTCCAATGCCAGTTCTATCTATCCATTAATTTCACATATGGCAATTTACACTCCAATTTCATTTCTTTGAAGCTATCATAACCACGTTCGTATTGATTTTACAAACCAGCAAAAATTCAAGGGGTAAAAAAAAGAAAAAGAAAGAAAAGATTAATAATTATACTAGTAATTACTACTTTACTACTCAAAAATTCATTACAAACGAAAAAAAAACAAAATTGCTAAAAGGGGAACATCTCATGTACAAACATGCTAAATAAAGTACACTACCAAGATACCTGTGCAAAGCAACACTGACTAGAGTTTTCGACTATCATAGAAAAGGGCAAAAAATGAAACTAAAAGAAAGAAAAACACACTAATACAATTTCCAGTACCACGCTAACCCACACACTACAGATTCGCTATCCTTTGCCACCTCAGCTTGGCTCGGCTCAGAACCCAACCCCAGCCGCGCCGACCCCGAACGTGGCACTACGATGCGGCTCAAGCTTCCTATTCTTCCAGAAACAAGCCTCCGGCATAAGCTTAGCCGCCGCCGTCCTCATGGGCTCGGACTTACACCTGGTCAACACAAACGGCTCGTAACCCCCGGCGTTCACCAGCTTCTGTTCAATCATGGCCGCCATGGACACAGCTGCTGCCGCCGGCAGAGAGCAGGAAGACCTCGGCGGCAGAAAAATCTCCGGCTGCTGTTGGGACATAAGCTCCTGCGGCGGTGGGTGTGGTTGTGGTCCCATTGGAGGAGGGGGAGGATGATTGGAGTCCGTGCAGCTGACTTCCTTCTTGGGGTCCTGTGGAGCGTTGACTAATTTCTTGTTGGTGACAGCTGCTGCCGGCCGCCTCTCCGGTAACCATCGGACGAAGTCCGTACTGCAGACCCATGTCTCCTTGGAAACTTCCATTGACAGCTTCGGCTCACACATCATCAATAGCAAACATTCCGGCAGCGCATTTGACGATGATGATGAGTTTTCCTTTTCTTTATCCTCCTGGATAGTCTCTTTCTCTATGGTGGTGCCTTTGGCTTCATCATTTTTATCAACTTCCACATCTTCGTCATTCTCCTCTTGAGGCGGTTCTTGGCTTTCTTGCCCATCTGCTGCTTCAATTTGCTCGACCTTTTCACTTTCAGAGGCGTTTTCTGCATCATCAGGTTCAGATAACAAAAAGGTAGTGGTCATCTGTTTTGTTTCATCATTTTCTGTTTCCTCCTCCTCCAAAGATGTAGATGTTTCATGTGGGATTTCTGCCTCGTCTTCGATGTTTGACTCGTCTGTTTTTGCTTCATTTTCTTCTTCCGGAGCAGCTTCTTCTACAGGAAGGAATTCTACCGTTGCTTCTTTCTTCAGTGCTTCGCTTTCAGAACCCTCCTCCTGTCTATCTGAGCTTTCTTCAGAGGACAATGAATCACAAGAAATTGGCATGCTCTGTTCGTCTTTCTCCTCTTCCACAACCTGTCCTTGAATCAGATTTTTCTCCATGTTTTCTGCCATTTCCTCATCCAATAAATCATCTTCAAATGAATGTAAACCTGTTTCTACTTCTTCTTCTTCATCAGCCTCTTCACTTACCATCAATGCCTGCATTTTCCCTTCGCTCACTTCCAATCCCTTGCTGCTATGCTTGCTTGGCTTCTCAACTTCAACTTCTTCTTGAACAAATTCTTGCATTTCATTTGCCAAGATTGCTTCTTTTTCCAGCTCCTCCTCTGCCTCTTCATTGCTCTCAGCTGAAACCAACTGTTCCACCACTTCATCCCTTACTTCCACCTCTATTTTGGCGTCCTCGTTTACAATTTCAAGATCCTGTGCAGGTACTTCCACCAATTCGCCATTTCCTTCACCATTCTCCTCCTCTGCTTCATTTTCATCATCTTTTGGAGCAGGGGACTCCCAGAATCTATTAGCAAGAGTAGCCACCTTCATGGGATCAGATCTACACCTCATCAACAAAAGAGCGTTCTTGGGAGGGACACAAATGCTCACTCTAGCTTTCTCTTCTTCTTCCTCGCCCTTCACTGCAATCATTTCTTCCTTAAACTCCATATCCTCGAAAACATGCCTTCTTGAACTCCTCATTGACGCCCTCTCCCTCGCCTCTGTTCTGACCTCCTCATCTCCACCACCTACAACCAACTCTATTTCCCTACTCTTCCCACCCTCGCAATCCTGCAATGCAACAAACCATCTGGCAAATACAGCCCCACATGAACTCTGCCCACTATTATCATTACCATTATTCCCCTCTTCCCCGTGCCCTTCCTGCCCAATATTACCAGCCTTCTCTTCTCTCTCCCTGTCATTTGTCGAAAAACAAGATGACCGGCAAGGAAACAAGCAGCTAAATTCAGCTCCAAATGCCCTTAAGCCCTCACAAATCGTCACAGGCAAATGCACCCACCTCTGATTCCTCTGTGGTAGACATTCTTGCTGCTGAAAATGGGAGCTCGAGTTCGCCGGTGGTGCATACCTCTGTTGTTGCTGAGTCCTATTAGAAGCACCTAATTCTTCACCACTAATTTTCAAGTCATCGTTCGACAATTGCTCTACTTTCCTAAAACTCGCCTCCCCAGTACTTCGCCTCCTTGACAAACTTCTCGTTTGCTTTACTTTCTTCTTGGTCTTAACTCGCACCTGCCCAATGCAAGTGACCTTTGGGGAAGAAGGTTCCGGGTTTTCGAATGCGCAGCCTCTTTTTTTCCCTCCCGTGGGGAACATTGGAGAAGCTTGGCCGCCCTTGATGCTTCCATTAGTCCTGAGTCTCCTGCTGAGAGATGTAGGCAGAGAAATTGGAGGGTCACGAGCCCGACCTGGGCTTAGAATAGATTTGGCTATTTTCATTGAAGATGAAGCAGAAAGGCGAGATGTGAAGCAGACGAAGAGCTCACTGCTTGTGCTAGCTGTGCCTGGAGTTGTTCTATGATGGGGTCTATCTAGCTCCATTTCTTCGGGTGTTAAATTTTTCTTTTCTTTTCTTTTTTTTACGGTTTTACCGATCTATCATGTAGCTGGGGGTGGGGGCAAGGAGGTAGAGTTTTTGTGCTGTCTCGGGGGGCATGAAACTGTGAATGAAAGTGATTAAAGCTGCGTGGGATTTTAATGGTGGGATGCCAGAAGTACACAGCAGCAGGCAGAGAAGCGATGAGAGGAAGACTGTGAATTCGTGCGCGTTGTAGTGGACTGTATAGTGAAGTGAAAAGTTGGAAACAGACTCATGATAGATAGACACATGAAAATCTATCAGAGTGAGTGAATGAGAGAGGAGTAATGAGAAAGAATAGAATAGAACAGAACAGGATAGGCTGTTGATGAGGATGACGATATGCTCTGTTTGTCTTATAGCTAAAAAGTAAAGATTACGTTAAGGAGCCTTTTAAGGGGCATTCGGGTTTCATCACAAAAATGTAATGGAGTGAGTGATAGATGCCCTTCAACCAACTCATAAATTCGGTGGCCATTCTTCCCTTCTAAGTTCTACTACTAAAATCTGAGGGTTGAGGGGGCGAATGGGCAATGCAGGAGGGAAGGAGCTTTCTGAAGATACATACATTCTGACAAGTCACAAAGCATACAATAACAAAGCATGTGATGCAAAATTGCAAATACTACTATCAGTTATCTCTGCTATCATTATTGCATTCTTGGTATCATTATATGCATGAGAATCTTGCCTTGCTTGGATTGCTTGTTTTCGTCGGAAAATATTATCGTTTTTCGTGATCATATTTTTCTATCACCTTTTTCCCTCACATATATTAAATCGCTACATTAATTTTTCCATGAAAAATGACGAAAAATACAATCCAAACACAACATTCAATTGCTGTTCACTCGAATGGTTTCATGTAAAGCTCCATTATCATCTGTGTTAACTACAGAAGTGGCAAGATTGCACAATGTTTTTTATTATTTGGGGCTTACATGTTACTCCATTTTGAGACCCTCTCGTGCATTTTGCTACACTGAAAAAATGACACTAAGGTATATTTCAACACTCACGAGTCTATACATTTTTGGCCAGAAACTGGATAAATTTTCATGTTATGAAAAAATATGTTGGGTGCCATTGGCCTTTTTGCCTCAAAGTTTAGCTCAAAAGATAAGGCATTCTACCCCTTTCACAACTACGGGGTAAACTCAACAATATTCCTCTTACACATTGGGACCTAGGTTGATTCATCGGACGGGCAAGCAACATTAAAGTGTCTATTGGAAGGAGTTATCATTTAATTGTTTACTAGGATGATTTGTGGTAATCAGGTTTTGATACCAGTATTGGGTGCTGACAGGCCTTCTTATCTCAAAAGTCCGTTAAAGGGAGTTGTTTTAACTTGGTTCTAATACCGGTGTTAAGTGCTATTGAGCCTTCACGCTCCGGACATTAGCCAAAGGGGTGGTGAGACTTTTTTCACATTTATAAATAATCAAGTATCCTATTCATTTCATGATCGATGTGAAATAAATTCAACAAAATATACAGAACCCATTACTTTATGACCACGTACTTGCCCTATTTACAAAAATTGAAACTTGAAGTTAAGTATTACCTAATCATTGATTAAAGCCCTCCTTGGTTTCTTAGGTCATCATCCAATACAGTGTAGTCAATTGGTAAAGCCACTATAGTCCACAGAATAGTTGAGTAATGATCAATAGATGATTATGATGGAGAAGCAAGTAATTGTTTGGACAGCAATTTATTTGGCCAAATATATTTGCTTACATTATCATTACAATTTCCAATACACCTTTTTACCTTCCCAATTACCTTTTTATCTCACATACATCCCATCACAAAAAATGTTACAGTAAAAATATCTCAAATAATTTACAATCCAAACAGAGCAAAATTTATTTAATGTTACTCTAGCAAGATAAGTGGAATGTGATGCAAAATCCTCTATGAACGTGGCCAGGTAATCTCTCATATGGACAATTAGCAACAGGACGAAAATAACAAAAAGATGATAATGCCCTCTCGTCACTCACGGCTGAACTGGCTGCTCTCTTGGGAATGTCAATCAACGCCACCATCCATCCTTTCCTTGTACCATTATTTAGTAGTATTGTGTTTGGGGAGTTCATCCATTCCTCTGATTCTCCTGGTTTTTACAAGATGAATGGCATTTTTGGTATTATGCCCTAAATAGAAGGGTAATTTGGAAGTCAAATCACATGGCTGGTCGATAGGGACGAGGTTGAAAGAGGAAAGAATCCAAGGGTGCATGCACGTGACTGCAGTCCTGTTGGGAAGAAAGAAGCTATATTAAGCTAAATGTTTTACCAAATCATAGACCATGACTTCCTGGACTCACTCGACTTATGTCACGTGCAAAACAATCGCGGCAACGGTTTAATAATTACTACTGCTACTTAACTAGTATTAAACACGAGTTAATATGACATTAAGCGAATTAAATATTTGACACGCGCTTGACCGGAGAGTTGGTCTGAGGATGTGTCCAAGACCAAATGCGTCGTTGGCAGAAGGGATCTGTTGCTTTGCTAGTTTGCTTCACCCTTCACGCACAGCATGGATAGCTGCGCGGGCATGAGCGCGTGAGGTAGAGAAAGTGAGCGCCATCATCATCCTCTACGTCTGTGCCCAACTCTCCTTGTCAAACTTCAATTAATAGCACTTGCCCACGTCAACAATCATTTTTTTAAGGTTGATCTGACGTGGCATTAGCTTATTAGTTGGTCTATTACTTTTAAGGTAGAGGTTGTGCGCAGAGTATTTTAGCACTGGCAGAAGGCAAATGAAACAAATAATGGTTAAGAAGAGGGTAAAACATGGGTTCAAACTTCTAAGTGAAATGATGACTGAAATAATAATGTGGGACAAGTGTTCCTTGAAGAAAAGGGCTTTTGACCAAGACCACGGAAAGATGACAAGACCAGTTATGAATTAAGTAAGGGGGCAAAGTGATGGACCAAAAGTTCCTACTTTTGTTAAGGGGGTAAGTACTGCTAATGAGGAGTGGTAGACAGCAAAGGCCATTTTTGGTTCTCTATAAAGAAAGCCCAACTGCCACCAGGACAAAGCAGCCATCTCGCCTTGTGATCACTGTCAATCACTTCCTTAGGCCTTGTTTGGATGCCGATTTTCGTCGAAAAATTGCGTCGTTTTCCGTGATCACATTTCCCTATTACCTTTTTTTCTCACATACATCAAATCGTTACAGTAATTTTTCTATGAAAAATCACGGAAAATGCAATCCAAACACAACCTTAAGTTTTGATCGTGCTGGGATGTCAAATATTCAAACAATTGTCCATCAATTTGTCATTATATGTTATTATCTTCAGTGACTTTCTTCCATGGAGTTTCTACTTCCATCGGCTCTCCCTTTCCCTAGATTAGGATAGATTAGACTATAGAAATATGCTGTGACAAAAAAATAATAATAATAATAAAGAAAGCCCAACTGTAAGTGAAAAGGGAGTTTTATTCCACTTTAATTAGTTAAGTCAGTGATCAATTCCACCTCACATGGAAAAAAGGATCACGCAGTCCTCACATCACTAAACGATTTTGCTTCATTAAAGATTAAAAATGACTCTTGATGGAGAATAAGGACCAATTGGCAGCAACTGCAAAAGAGAGGGGCTTCAGCAATTCTCAGCCTATTTCCATGCCCAACACTTCATCACCAGGCCGATTCTTTTGCTAACTCAACACGTAGACTCAGGCCCATTGCTTCGAAAGCTCATGCAAGCAAATTGGGCTCTTGGCACTAAACTAATAGAGCCAAAATCTTCTTCTTTTTTTTTTTTTTTTGGCACTTTTGGTGCAAGGAGAGGGACTTGAAGCATTATAAGAGATAAATGAAGGGTTTCAGTTGGAGACCTGGTCAATTACGGCTTGTTTTTAGTTGGTTATTTTAACTAGTTTTAGATTCTGATTCTAGTTACTAAATTTTTATGATGATCTCGGTTGCTTCTGTATTTTGATTATAGATTTTGTGAATCACTGCAAAAGTTAAAATCTATAATCATCAAAATAGTAATTTTTACAGATTCCAATTATTTTTAATAATTATTTACCGATCACTAAAGCAACCGAGAACAAAGTCTTAGTCAGTGCCTCAACCAACTAAAAAGGTAGATAATAAACTAGTGCCTCTCAATGCATTTTGGCATTCGAACAAGTTCAAAGTTAAGTTGAAACTTTTTTGGCTATCTGCTCTTTTGAGAAAAACATCGGACAACACTTGTTTAAGATTAGCTCCGTTCAAATTATGGTTAAGGGCCCCAGTTTTAAAGAGGAAGTGGTGGCAACAAACCCGAAAACATATTCTCAAGTTTATTTATTATAATTATTATTAGGCCCAGTCCAGTAGCATTTTTCTATGGGTTGGATTGGTGAGGGTGGTGGGGGGGGGGGAATAATGACATTGATGAAATAGACGATAGCGCAGAGGCATAGAGACCTGAGTATTGTGCTGCGCTGTGCTATTCTTCTTCCTCAAGAAACTGTTTTTTTTTTTTTTTGGGCTTTATCTCAACCCAAACTTTGAACTAAATATCATCGGAATATGCAACACAACAGTTGAACATGTGATCAAATTAGTTGCGGCGTAGAAATTTGAGTAGAGTAAAGCAAAACTGGGGACAGTTAAACAAAACAACAATGATCATACCAGTTATTAAGCTTGGAACGCTTGCTCTGAGGACCATCTCAAAGCCAATCGCTAATAGGCTCAAGAAAGATGCCGGTTTGCACCCCAAATTTCGTGATTTCATCATCAACATTGCTCAGGTCTAATTTTTCCAACCCACATCATCTTGATTTCATCCTACTTTTTATGTCATTTAAATATTTGTTTCGGCTTTTTACGTTGGCTCAAGTTTATCGTTTTTTTTTTCCCTTTTCTTGCTTGCATGTAATTGCAAGACGAAGTATTGATCATTGCTGCATATTGCAATTTCTTTATTAACAAAACCATGGATGGATTTTTTTCTTTTTAATCAGTAAACCAAAGAAGTACGTACCATCAATTGGTTCGTGTGACTGGCAAGAGGCAGCTGATTAACTAAAACCGAACCCATTGTCCTTTATCTCAAATCAGTTCAACTGGTGTAGCTCTTATCATGGTTTCCTTTGTAGTTGGAGAATAGATAGGCATTCTACTACTATATCCTCTTGAGGCATTTCTTTTCTTGTAGTTTATGATATGAAAGTCCTTTTTCGGTCATAAAAAAAAAAACTCATCCAACTGTGATCTAACAAATATAGGATGGTGTTAGAGGAGAACTATAGTATACAACAGAAAATGTGTTCTTTATTTTCAATGTGGTCACTACTGGTTATACTTTTGGAGAGATGGTTTAGAGTACTTACATTTTCCTTTTATCTTTTATTGGGCTGGGAGGTGTTTTCTTCTATATCTGAGTGCAGTTAGGTTGAGCTTGGAGGGTAACGTCAGATTATTTATGCACATTCTATGCTAACACCCCAATGCAGTTTTGATCCTGATTTGTTTTTCTGTTAAATCAGGCAAATCACAGATTCTCGACCATCATGCAAAGGCGAATTTATGGATATTCATCAGATCTTCTGATCCGCCCGCTGAATGAGGAGAGGGCGGTACAAGCAGCCGCAGATATTCTTGGAGAACTCTTCGTCTTCTCAGTAAGTTCTGCAACTGCAATTTGATCATGCTCTTGATGAGATGGCTAATAGACTGATAGTTAGTAGTCGTAACTTGGTAAGATAAGATCCCTAAAAATTCCAGGTATTGTTCATTAGCGCCTTTCACCGGACTGTTATCACAATTTTCAAGTTCGTTAGTACTTCGTTTAGGTAGCAGGACTTGCCATAGTCTATGAGGTGCAAAGAAGTTCAAGAGCAGAGGCTAGGAAGGAGGAAAAGAGGAAGCAAGAAATGGAGGTGATGTCTTTTAATTCTTGTGTATAATCTTCGCATCACTTGCCAAGGATGGTCACTTTTCAGCTCTTGCTTCTGGAAATTTGAGTCAATGACAATTAACTCGGTAATTTTTTTGATTAGGCGATACAGCAAAAGAACCAAGAACTAGCGAAAGAAGTTGAAACTCTAAAGAATAAGGTGGAAGCAGTTGGAAATTTGCAGCGCAAATTGGAAGAGGTGGAGCTGGCTGCCAAAAGATGCAGTTCCTGGAACTTGTTCAAGTTGTGGAATGCTCAGACACCTGCTTACAGATCGGAAAGCAGACTCAAGCAAGCAACACAGGAGAGTTCATGCACTGACTTGGACACAATTGGATACAATTGACACACAAATGTTGCCGCCTTGTTCGTCAATAGAAACATGCTCTTTGAAAGCTGTACTACAAGTTGCCCTCTGTGTGCACAACTGTTTAGCGTATTTTCCTAGCAATTACTATGGTGTGAAAGTGAAAACTTTTCACCACATTTTGATGAGAGAGGAGAAGTTTTTGCTAGTAATTTGCTGATGCTTGCCCTCCATACTTGAGCTTTCAATCTGTGAAGCTGGTTTCTAAGCTGAATTGATTTTGTTCGGATGGTTACCGAGTATACTTGGGTGAACGTCCGGCATGCAATTTTTTTCTGTTTGTTAAATTCACAAAGCGACATTGCAGTGCCTTTCCTTTAATCATATAACACAAGCACTCTCCTTGGCTTATGTACTTCCAATGATACGTGGGAGCGGGCATTGCCAAGTGAGTTTAAAACTTGAAAGCAAGAAAAATTAGTCACTGGAATTTTGATTCACCAATGTTAAAAGTGCCCCGACGATGCTTGTGAAACTCTTTTATCCCAAAGACCAAGTTTTTTCTTCTTAGAAGCTGAAGGTGCCAGTTCGAGCTTGGGCAAATTGACAACTTGGAGTTTAGCGAAATAAAAATTAAGCTCTAAAGTAAATGACGAACTTAGCAACCCAATCGCATGCCTACTTATTAGTTTCGCCTAAACAACTACAAAATTAAGAACATCCCAATTATCTACATATCCCTTCGGATGATCATTCACAATGTCGTATATAGCATATGCACACTTGCATTTCTGAACAACAATCTTCGAATCACATCTTCCTGTCATATAACGGCAAGAGCAATTAAGTCGGGTAGACTCACTTTCAGTTTCTGCAGCCCTTTCATTTTTCAAGCTCCAGCACAATTTTACCAGGAACATGCCCTTTTCTATCCTTTGCTTGATGGGCCTCTCTAACCTGTGTGATGGAAAACGTTTTTTCAACTGGTATTTTCAACCTTCCAGCCTCAGATAGCCTGCGGATTTCCTCTAAACCTTCAGCATCAGCCCTCATGTAAGTCCACCAGTATTCTGTACCACATCATACCAAAGAATTGGTCAAGTAACCGCAAATGGTTATCTGGAAATTGAATTCTAGGAAACGTTAGTTCCAATGACACAAACTAGTTTTATCTAAACTACCAAAGAACGACGTACAGGTTAATGCTATGAAATTCCAAATGATCATCAAATTCATTATCATATGGGAAGCATCAGTCAGAAACCCAAGCATCATATAATAGGAAGCTGCACTTCATCCATCGACAAAATCCCAAGCGCACATATTTTAGGAACCTTGTGCAATGGGATATCGAGCACATATATGAACTCTTTACCATGAGAATCCCAGTTTTCCCTCTACTGATGTGGTGTAACACACTTCTAGGAAATTGAGTGTCTTCCAAAACAAAGAAGTCTGGCATGAAAGATGATTTTCATCCTCACCGTCCATTTGAGATATAACCATCTCACCACAAGTAGATGAGAAGTTCTCAAAACTCAAAGTGGCTTCTAGAAAACAATTCATGAAAGTTGGCACACATTGATCAAAGAGTTTCATGCCCAAACGAACAACGGGTGATATGGAGCAACTCTTCCAGACAATGCAGAAATCTATCACTAGATATTCTAAAACTTTCTGATGGCACCCTGCTTCTTAGGCCTTTTGTCATACTCATCAAAGAAGTTTTAGTAGAAAAGAAACAGCCATACTGTGGTTTCCCTGATACAAGGTGAATAAGAACTAACTGAATATAAGGTGATGCTCAGGCACACAAATTGATAGATATTGTGCTTAGGCTCAAAAATTGACACAGCATTATAATGTAAACCCACACATAATTATGCTAGAAAAAATTTCAAGTCAGCAAGCGAAATTGATACATATATCTTGCTGTACTTCAATTTGAGCAATAATATCTTCAACACAGATTCTTATCTATTGGAAAACATTACCTATTCCATGAGAATATCGATACTGTATTTGTTTCTTTAACAAAATTCCTGTTGCCAATGGGAGGCCAATAGCTAATCCATACCTATCAGTTAGTGATGCAGCTTCCCCCTATGCAGATAAAAAATAAAAACTTCAATATCATTATGTCCAAAATCAATTAGAAAAGAAAGAAAAAATTTTTTGTCTAAGGAAAACAAAGGACAACTAAAGTATCATAAATCTAATACCTGCAGTGTCATGTAATGTCCTCCCCTCTTTAGAAGATTTATCCCTATTCTTTCAGTCTCAGGCAGACCAATTGTGTCCAGAACAGCATCAAAATAGCCTTTAATTGCTACTTCAAGATCCTGAAACCACCAAAATATCTCAATTTACATAAGGAATTGTGCAAATACTCTAGCCCATCAGAAAAATACATTAAAAGTAGAGATTGATGAAATATATATAATGTAATTGATGTCATCACCTCCATGTTATAGTCAACAGCGTCCTCAGCACCAGCTGCCAGAACACGATCAATACTTTCACCTCCACAAGTGGTTGAAACATGGCAGCCAGCAGCTACTGCGAGCTGAATAGCAGAAAGACCAACTGCACCCCCTCCACCCACCACTAGTACTCTTTGCCTAAAAGATTTGGTACAAGAAAGCTAGTCATGCAGGTATATAGTATTACGAAAATTTTAAGGAACATTTAGTGGCTAGTTTTCTTATGATTTAAGCTTTATTCAATTTCAAACAATGATTATTTGCTTTTAAGTGGAATGAAGTATGTAGACAAAAAGAAGATGATTATTACATCATTAATACAATCACAGGGACCAGTTAAGAGCTTAAAATTCATTGGCAACTTGGGCATACACAAGTAAAAAATCATCAGAGAATGACCTGACATCCCACTCCAAAATTAATGGCTGCTGCCATAGAGTCTAAAGAAAAATAATTACCCCTGTGCAATTCTGGCTGTACTCTTCAATGCACGCCAGGCAGTCAGAGCTGCAAAAGGAATTGCACTTGCTTCCTGTGGGATATTAAAAGAGTATGAATACTTTCCGCTAAGAAACAAAAAATATGAATATAAACATCACAACAGAAGGCAATTAGGATGGGATCAAATGGAGGAAAAATAAAAGAAATGAAAAGCTGGATGAAGCCCGATTAGATTGGAGCAATAGTCAATTATCAAAAACTATATAAGCTCTCAGGAAATTCAAAGAGGAAAAAAGAAAGCACACACGGTAGCTGAAAGATATGCATCATTTTGTTGTTTGAGCACATAGATCAGAGTGCTTAAAGGAACAAAGAGATTTCCATCAATGGATTAAGTAGCATACTAAACAGACAAAAAGACAAGACATACCACATGTGAAATAGGAGCTGGTTTTGGCGCAAGTTCATCTTCTGCAAGAATGGCGTAGTCAGTGTAAGTACCCCTAACAGCGGTTGGGTGCAACGCACCAAACACTTCCTGCCCAATTCCGAGGGAGCGTACAGAGTTTCCTATAGCTGCAACTTCACCACTAATATCACGGCCCAAAATCAAGGGCATGAGTGGCTCAAAAATTGAACGACCATAGCCTGCTCGCATCTGAAAAATAGAAGATTCTGAGAGAGTAAAATTTCTTGTTTAACCTATGAATGAATCAGAGGAAACATGGCTATTAAGAAAAGTTGCTCCAAAATACATCCACATCTTAGATGAATTAAACCATGCAAGGATTTACATAAAACTTCCCCAACATATGTTGAGGCGAGATTGCAGATGTCTTTAGAGCAGAAATCAGAACATCAATGTTTATTAGATGATTTTGAGAATAAACAACTTGTAGTGGATATCTTCCTGTAACCAGTCACTTAACCTTTTAAACAACAAATTTTCACCCGAACAAATCAGCACGAAAGATAATATGCACTCTAAAAGCATCTTTGAGGGAGTCATGACTTGGCAACGGGCTACAAAGTCCGACTGATCTTTGTGCAGGTAAATAAATAGATAAATTTCGATGTTGTATCATTTGTCTTTCTTCATTCATAATCTAATTACATTTATGACATAAACAATCAAGTTCGTCCAAAACGCAATCTAAATCACCAAAAAGCCTAAAATGCCAATCTCAAGCTTATCAGATGAAGTGTGATTCCAGCCATCATTGCATTGTTGTCATGGTAATATTCGTGGCATGCCAGATCCAGAGTGTTGACAAATATCTTTTGCTCCAGTTCTTTGAAATTTTTGACCATTTAACTGCAAGAATCTGTTTTTTTTTTCTCATTAATAGACCCATCCATGAAATTTCAAAATCTTAATGAAGTTCGTCTCTATGAGTTCTTTTGTCTATTCAATGATATTCAACCCAGCCAGATGCTGTAAGCTACAGTTCCTCCCCCCCGCCCCCCTCTTTTCTTTCTGAATGACATTGCGACTCTTTCAATCTACTATCGTTTTAGCGTCCTCCAAATCCATAACAGGACACGTAATACAGCCCTTCACATTATTATCCACAGACGCGAAATTCCTGACTAGTAAAGCGCGTCATCTTACATGCACAAAATTTCATATACCTATACGTGTATAAAACACACCATCTTTTTCTCACGATCCAGACAACAAAACAGTGCTTAAAGGATAAATTAACATTCAGCCTCCAGAAAAAATAAACTGATGAAAAGGCGTAAGCAATTCAAGCTTTAACACTGATAGTCGCAATTCATATACTCACTCGAGTGTCGAGCGGATTAATAGAGACGGCGCGAGCGCGGACGAGAACCTCATTAGGCTTCAAATCAGGAACATTAACATTATCACGGAGCTCGAGAACATCGGGACCGCCGAATCGCGGCAACAACACCGCTCTACAGCTGGTCACAATGCTTCTATTACAAGTCTTAAACCCTTGCCTACTCCGTAATGATCCATTTCCAGTAATTCTATCACTAACTTTCGTTATTTCAGGCTTTCGCAGTAGTAACCGCATCCTCCACCTCCGCAATTCGGAGAAGCGCTAATATTGCAGCTAAAATTTTTAAACGAAGCTAAGAAATTGCAATTTACAGGCGGAAATGCGTGATGAACATAGAAATTGTAGGTTTAAATTGGAGAAGGTTTGTTTGAAAGAGAAAGCTAGAGAGAGAAGAGGACGTGTAAGTGTTATTGTCCGCAGAAGCGAGAGCTTTCGCAACGATGGCAGTCATTCGAGGACGCTTCTCAACTTAGTTCAGTTGCGAGGACTCAGCAGAAGGCTTGCATTCCATTTTTGGTATTTACACCCCCAAGTTTCTCCGAGATTTACACATCACACAAGGGAGGCTCAACGACGTCGTTTCCAATTGATATTAGTATTTCTTGTTTTGGCTTTTTGCCCATTTAGGGTTTTTTTTCGGGGATTTGGGAAAGGAATAAACGGTTTCAAAATTGTTTGGGTTTTAATCAGTTAAAATGTAGAAAGCAGGAATTAACCATGAGGCTCTTCGAAGCAATGAATCAAAGAATGGATAACAAATTGAAGTTTCTTTTTTATCCTTTCTCATGTTAGATTTATGGTGTTTCAAATGTGAAGTCTAACCAGCTAATTCTGATAATTTTGCATCATAAAATTCAGGACCTTGACTATACATACAATAAAAAATAAAAATAAAAAAACTAAAGAGCTATTTTCCTCATTCTCATCCAGGGGACAACTAAAACAATGTAACCTCTACTTTGTGTTCAAGGCAAGTTTGCCTTTCTCCTGAAGCAGCCCTCAGCAGCAGTATGTTTGAACAACTTCTGCCCCAATCCTATCTCCTCAAAAATCATACTACTACAACAAATTCTTAACACCTTCTAATCCACCTAGAAGAACTTGCATGGTGAAATAGCCCCCAAACACAAGGCCGGAGATTGACAGCTCTAAGTTAAAGAAAAAATGGAAGACTACAAACTGCCAGAACTACCCTTGCAGAGTGTTTTCATCAGAGCTCCCTTCAACCGCACCTGTTGTGGCAGTGTCAGTTGTGCTACTTGTCACAGCAATAGTAGCTAGTGGGGTGCTTGTATTTTCTACACTGTTACTTGCACCAGCCCCAGAAACATTCTCTGGTAAGCCTTTAGGCTCAGTATCTGGAAGAACACCTGAATGACCAATAGGAGCCACACCTGGAGCTCCAGAGAAGTTAGAATCTGCAATAGGGGAAGTGGTAGAGGTTACAGGATTAGCATCTACAGTGTCATTGGAGTTTGTAGCTGAATCCATGGTATTGGCTCCAAAGACATTACTGTTATCCCCCAGAGTTGTGGTAGTCACTACAGAAGAAGTGGCTCCAGAGACATGGGAAGTTGCAACTGGAGCTGCGGTAGAAATAGTGGCTCTAGAGTCATCAGAATTGTCAACTGGAACAGTGGTACTCATTCCTGAAGAAGAGGATCCAGAAACAGAAGAATTTGCAACTGGAGTTGTGGTGGAAACAGAGGCTCCAGAGACATTGGAATAAGTAACAGGAGCTGTAGCATTGTCTGTTGAAACAGTGGCCTTAGATACACTGGAATGAGAAACTGGACTTGTGTTATTGGCTACAGGCATAGTGGCCCCTGGAACATTGGACTGAGCAATTGGAGCAGTGGTTGTGACAACAGGAGCAGTAACATGAGCAACAGGAGCAAAAACAGCAGCTGAAGTTATATTGGCATGAGCACGAGACACTGCAGCTGTTATTGTGGATAAATTGTCCACAGATATGGGTGTCGCTGCAGGTCCAGTATTAGCACGCCCCTCAGTGTTATGCTGCTGTTCTTTTACTTCAGCTGGAGCCTCTGCCTTATGCTGCTTCTGTGTTGCCTCAGCTGGAAGAGAGACCTTCAAAGTGTTGCCTGTATGAGGTTCGCTCCCTGCTTTATTTTGGTTCCAATTTGCAGATTCAGCATGAAGTTGCTGCAACCTGTAATCAGTTTCTGGCCGACGACAAACCTTTCTCAATGGAACAATTTCCTGCTGACAGCGAAAAGAACCAAATGTTCTTAACTACCTAAATAATGTACCAACACGTAGAAAAAAAAGATACTAACCGAAAGAAGAAGACAATATACTCAAAAACATAACTCTACCAAGAAACTTTAAGGAAAACTCTAACAACAATAATTTCTCTTGACAAATACTTCCAGTATGAAGCAAAAAGTTTTGGCAAAGAACATTCTTATGTATAATTGGATCCAATGGAACCAATCTTCCAAAGTGAAAGCCAAAGGACCAAGATTACCAGTAATTACTTATTGTTCCTCATTTCTATATTTCTTTTAATTTGAGAGGCTGAAAGCATTATCCTATCCACAGAATTTGGACTTCACTATAGTTAATGACAGGTATACAAGCCAAAATAGGAAAATTACAATTTTCAAGTACCTCTGCTAGTTTTTAAAAAGATATTTTGAAGTCCCATTTCAGAAAAGATTGGGCACAGAGATAGTGATACAGTTCCAGGATAAGGACCCACAGCATCAATAAGAAAAATAACATATAACATGGTCAGGCATGATATCAAAGTTAGGTTCTAAGGAGTAAGAGTATTGTACCTCAGTCTGATCATGATCATAACGCACCAGAAATCTACAGCGGCAACCTCTTACATCATGCCTCCGCCGTTGTGCATCAAGAACATGCGCATCAAAGTAGAGAGCCTGTTCTTTACCTTCCTAATAGTTGTTCAATAGACATCACAAGATGAGTTCAATATCTAAGCAAATATTTACTTCCCCTTGCACCTTATTTCTTTTTCTCTAAAATAAGTGTAGAGCATGAACCTGAAAGCAGAGTATCAAATCTCCAGGAAGCACTGCTACACATTCAGAGGATTCACATGGGAGAGAACGTTGCCTCACATGTTTGCGAACATTGACCCACTCATCCTCCTCCGGTCCAAAACCAGCAAAGCGAACCAGAACTTCCTGAATCAGCAGGACTAATATCACACAAGGTGGAAAATGTAAAACACAGCAGCATAAGATGAATTGACTTGAAAGCAGAATTGCTTAGTGCAGGTGAAGCTGATGAAATCTACAGTACACACACACACACATATATATACACGTGTGTGTGTGTGTAAGAAAAAATGAAGCATAACATAGTCATAGAAAAAGTTCCACTATAATCTATCAGTAGCAGCATGGTAAAAGCATACACTAAATTCTGAATTGCCCACAGAATCAGGTACTGCAAACTAGAACCTAGTAGGTCTGGGATTTGATAATTCAGAGTTGAACCAGCTACTTCCCATGAAACCCACTAGACAATACTAGTCACAGAAACATCAGTATGATGCCATTTATTTAATGCACAGTCAAGTCACAGCCGCAAAAACAAACAAAACAAGTCAGGTTTCCAGAAGTAAACAAAGCCATCTTGGAAGAGACCAACAAGAAAAGAATTGTCAAACAAAAATATCTCCTGGTTTCTAGGTAGTTCAAATTCAGGAATTACCGGATCACTAGTCTCCACCGATCTATGTGATATGAAGGTTGCCACATCATACCTAAGATAGAAACAGCAACTTATCAATGTGTATTTTTATACACAAAATAAACCAGTTTGGTTGGGAAGAAAAGGCCAAAACAAACCAGTTGGCTCCTGTAATTCCTAAACTGGTGTAAATGGAATACTAACCAAGCACCATCTCTTGCAGATTTCGCTTCAAACTCCATCTGTGAGTTATCTGAACCATTTTTGCCAGCACTTTGAACTGTTAAAAACATGTGATCAGGTACACAGAAGACAATCAGCGAAATAAAGCTATGGACAGATTTTTCTTGAGAAAAAGATGAACATCTTCTCAAACCAGGCAATAAACACATGTAGAGCTCAAGAAAAATGTAAGTTCACGCATACATATAGCCTGGATAGATAAAGACAATCAGCAAAATAAAGCAAAAGACATATTTTTCTTGAGAAAAAGATGAATGTCTTCTCAACCAGGCAATAAACACATGTAGAGCTGGAGAAAAATATAAGTTCATGCATACATATAGCCTGTATAGTGATGCTAAAACAGCATGTGTACCTTTTTGTCCAAATATGAGATAAACAAAATGTCACACAGAATTTTGCAGACTATATGAGATAAAGAAAATGTAATACAGAATTTTTAAACTCACTTATCAAGGATGATTAAGCCTTTAAACAAGCAATGGTCGTTAATCTTTGGAAACAAAAGGTGAAACAATATATTCATTAAGGAATTATAATGCTCTGCTTGACAGTTCTACCTGAAGGAGCAGATACAGGTTGTGAAACTTGGGGCACATTCCTGACAATAGCTGAATCAAGAGATGAAGTTACATGTCAAAATATGGCTGGAACTGCACGAAGCCAAATAAGGTGAACGAATGTGTCCAGGTAAGTAGCTACAAGCTACTTCCAGCAGACAAATAAACTGTACCAGGAGGAACAGAAATATGTTGAGGGGCTTGAGGTACATTTCTGGCAGCAGCCAAATCATCACGAGGCACAGGTGATGGACCCACCTTTGCTGGAACCTTAGTTGCTTTGGCTCTAAGAGCATATCTCCTGTTTTGGAACCAATTCCACACCTGCAGTGGATGCTTCAATAGTCATAATTTATCGAAGAAACATCCAGCTGTGGTAAATAAATGCAGTCTTACCTGTTTCATTTGAACAACTACTTTCCCAGATCTTTCAGGTGAATTGCTGGGAAAGGAAAAAGGGGAAAAAAAATTGCATCAAAACCCAACTTTTAGATGCTAATAAGTTCATCAAAATGTTGAACATCCAAGTAATCTGGAAGCAAATGCCAATTAGATACCTGAACTTCTCAGCAAGAGCAAGTAGAATTTCACGTGACGGTACAGCAGTATTATTATGTGCTTGCAAGATAGCTTCCATTTCCGCCACCTATTTTGTTCAACAAAATGACCAGAATTAGTTAAAATCATTCCCAACCAAAGCATAACAAACCTAATCAAGGTAGTACACAGATAATCCAGTTATAAAATGAAATTCCATCACTCAACACGATGCCTCGACCTCGACCTATTTGTCGGAAGATTTGCAACAACTTTCTTAGTCTTCTTAATGGAACAAGAATGAACTTACTCATAAACAATTTGTCAAAGCTTTTCCAAAAATATTTTGGAACTAAAATTTGAGTTAAATTAGTTCAGTATAAGTGTATAATCGTGCCTGCGTAATTTTCTGGATTTGCAACAGCTTTCTTGGTCTTCTTAATGGAACAAGAATGAACTTCCTCATAAACAATCTGTCAAAGCTTTTCCAAAAAT